CGGAGGCCACACGTGCCGCGCCGCCACGTCCTCGCCGCCGAGCAGGAGCGCCGGGGCCCGCGGGGCTCGGCGGGGCGGGGGCCTGCGGCCGGGCGGCGCGGGCCGGGGGTGGAGCTGGCGCGGGGTTTGAACGGCCGGGAGGGCCCGAGGCTTTGGCCGCGCCGGGGAGGCCGGGGAGGCCGGGACTCGCCGCGCCCGCGCTCACACCTGTTGCGGGCTCCCCGGCGCTCCCGGGAGGTTGGCCTGTTGGAGCTTTGGCCTACCCGGGGGCTCACTGTGTGCCCAGACCGCTGGAGCGGCCCTCGTGCCGCCGTCGGGGAGAGCCAACACGCAGCCCGCAGCCCGCTACCCTCTGAGTCCCAGCACGTTCCTTCTTAAGGAACTCTGGTCTGCTGTGTTCACAGCAGATTCTCTTGTTATTGTTTCCAGTGAGCAGCAAAATCAGCTAATAGGGAATTGAGTAAATAAGCACCTGGTGTTGAGCTTATTTCATTTAAAACACCACAGAAGAGAAGTTATTAGAGAGGGTTTCAGAGAAGTACTGCATTGATGTAACCTCAGCCCTCCAGTAGATGATTGACTATGACGCTGCCCGTTTAAAAATGGATGGGATAGTGACTTAGATCTACTTGGATTATTTAAAAAGCCATTTTGTTCAGATACCTTTGATAATAGGGTAAGTCGTCCTTTGTAATATAGTAGTGGCTTTTATGCTGTAGAGCAGACTTAATTTGTGCTGTAGTAGTTCCGTGGGTGGTACAAGTTGAAAAGTGTAGGTATTATTTTACAAATAATTAGTTTTAAAATTAGCCAAGTCCAGAGTTGCATTGTAATTCCTATAGCACTAAACATTTTAATTTCTTGTTTTAAGTATCTTTTGTGTACCAGGTATGGTGCTTAGGCCAGTACAGTAGTCGGGGTCTAGTTTGCTCTGGGTATTGAGAGCATATTCTCTGAGAAAGAAAAAAATTAATCAAGCAAGGTTGTGCCACCCCTTTAGTCAGCACTTGTGGCTGGAAGGGATTTTAGAGTTAGTGATGGCCTGTCTTTTGTGCCTCCTTAGCGTAGAGCAAATTTGTTCTGTATAGGCTTGAGCACTTCTGTTTTTTGAAAGACTTAGTTACACAGATGTGTGTGAATGCATGCATGCATATGTGTATGCGTGTGTCTTAAGTTGTATGCTTTATCACAAAATAATAAACGTTTATTAACATCAGCATGCTAAAACTAGTAATACTTGTTTGGGCTTTTCTTGGAGAAAGTAATGTGTATTTTGCTAGGATTTACATTCTAACTGTAGGTATTTTGAGGACATTTCCAGTTACGTAAAAAGCTTATTTAGTGTACCTAGTATATTTAATAATTAATTTAGATTTCCTTAATAAAATCATTTTAATCTCTGTGCAGGTAAAATACCCTTGGCAAGCATATTACAGATGGAGAGTCAGGCCCTGAAAGGTTTAGAGCCTAGTGTTCCTGTTGCTGCCACTCTGTGTCCTCACTTTGGGCCATGTCTTGGGGTGACAGGTTGATTTGACTGACACTATATCTGGGAAGGAGTTGGTGTGGAGGCATGGCCATCACTGGCATCTTGTCCTTTTTAAATTCTAATGAACAAATGAGTCAAAGGGGGCCATCTTGCTCATCTCTTCACAAGCTCTTGAATTCGAAAGGGTTGTTTTTATTTTTAGGATGCTTTTTTTTTTTTGTCATTTATACTTAAGTACTTTTTAGGTTAGGATGTTTTAAAGTTGTCAGCTCTTTTTTAAAAATCCATTTACCTTATTGAGCATGAAGATTTTTGCCTTCGCTTATGTCTTATTGACTGTATTTGATGCAGTATTTCAGCCAGAAAGAACTGGAACAAGTACTAACTAGTGTGTTGTAAATAACATCAAGTTTGATTTAATAAGCAAATATTATTCTTAGATTATACAGAGAAGTTTCCTTAACTACTGTTTGTTCTAGAAACTGGAACAGCTTAATCAATACCCAGATTTCAACAACTACTTGATTTTTGTTCTTACAAAACTAAAATCTGAAGGTAAGTAGAGCTTGTGTAGATACTTAACTAAAACATCTTTAGCAATATTAAGGTCTTTATACTGTGAAATCCTAATTTCAAAGGGTTTCATTTCGCCTCGGATTGATGGCTGTCAGATGTGCCACTGGGAGTTACTGCCACTTAGGTGGCTAAGAAGCAGTCTCTTGATGACTAGGTACTGATACAAGTCCCTGTGGGTATTTGCAAATGAAAAATGTGCTGCACAGTCTGGTGTTTAGCTTCAATGTTTATACATGAGTATAATAAAGGTTGACTTTTTTAATAGTATGCAAATTGAATGCAAGGTTTAATAATCACCTGGGTGTGTGTGTTCATTGTAGAGAAAACATGAAAACACTTACCACCATCAGGTAATTGTTGTCTCTGAACTTTATTCTAATATGACTGTTCAAAGTTATTAACAAATGATGGAGTCATTAACTATTACAGTTTTCATTTTAAATTACTTCTACAGTACATTAAAGCTAACTAGTCTGCTTTTAAAATGGCATGGCCTTTGATTATTCTAATGCATGTCATATGTCCTTCTGGACTTTATTTCACAGATTATTTATTTGCTAGCATCGTTTCTTTGTCGGACAATTTGCAGGTCATGGGAAATAAATGTGAATATAACAGATAATGCTCATTGCCCTCTCTGAGCTGACAGAATAGTGAAGATTGTTCTTCATAGCATTTGAGTGTTGAGTGTCTGTGGAGCACTGCAGACACTTAAATAAGTTTTAAGACAGTTTTCTGCTAGCCCTTGTTTGGCAATGTGTGTGTTAGAAGCCATAGTTAAAACGCAGCTTGAAGTTGTGAAGTCAGTTCTGTTTGCATTCTGGCACTAAGGCATCTAACCTGTCTTGCTTCTTTTCACTGGAAAATGCCTGCTAGACACTCAGATGCTGTAAGATCTCGGCTCCATCCTCTAGCACATTATGGAAGTAAAGATCTGCTAACAGACACACACTGTAGTGGTTCCTTTGATTTGTTCTCAGGTGATTTCCTAGTGAATTCTGTGGGTTTTGTGATGGGAGACATAGTAAAAAATTTTAAAACTAAATTTAGAAATTCTTTTAGTGTATCTTTAAAATTGGTGGTTATTAGTCTGCTTTGGTGAATGCTTAGGATTATACTATATTTTTCATAGTATAGAAAAACCTCACACACCAGCAATCACTTGACTGGAAATGTAGTTCATTTTTAGAGCAGCATGAGAAGCCCTTAGCACTGCAACCCCCAACACATACACACATACATACACTTTCTTTTTTTTCTTTTGGCGTGTGGAGGGGTTCAAGACAGTCTCTCTGTAGCCCTGGCTGTCCTGGAACTCATTCTGTAGACCAGGCTGGCCTCACACTCAGACATTCCCAGCCACCTCCCCTCTCTCCCACTTCCACCACCTTCCTCTTTTCAGAGAAGAGCAGGCCTCCCAGGGACATCAGACATGGCATAACAAACTACAGTAAGACCAGGCACATACCATCACAGCAAGGCGGAACAAGACAACCCAGGAGGAGAAAAAGGGTTCCACAAGTAGGCAGAAGAGTCGAGGGCAGCTCTCACTTCTCTGGTTCCTCCTTTCCCATCCTCTGAAGGACTCCCCAAGTTCTCTGAGCTCCGTGTAATGTTTGCCTGTGGGACTCTGCCTCTGCTCTCAGTTGGCTTGGTAAAGTCTCTCTGGTCTCTTTGATGATGATTCTGCTAGGCTCTAGGACAGGACAATCTATAGGTTGATGGTTTTGTGTCTGGGTTGGTGGTCCCAGTCCTTCTACTTGAGGCCTTGTCTAGTTACAGAAGATGGCCAGATTGGGCCCCGTGGTCCTCCCCCGCTGCTGTTTTGTTTTGTTGTGGTAGTGTTTTTTGTCTTTTGGGTGTTTTGTTGTTTTTTGAGATAGTTTCTCTGTGTAGCCTTGGCTATCCTGGACTTGATTTGTAGACTAAGCTGGCCTCAGACTCACAGAGATCCACCTGCCTCTGCCTCCCAGAGTGCTGGGATCACAGGCATGCGCTACTGCGCCTGCTTCCCACATCCCCTTTTAGTAGCAGTCTTTGCTAGGGTCACTCTTACAGAGTTTCCAATGCACTGGGTTTCCCCCCAAATCCAGGCCCCCCCCCCACTATCTTATCCCTCCTGTAAAATACTTTTTTTGTTTGTTTTGATTTTTGAGACAAGGCTGGCCTTCAACTCAGAAATCTGCCTGCCTCTGCCTCCCGAGGGCTGGGAATTAAAGGCATGTGCTATGACACTTAGCTAAAACACATTTTTTAAAAGTACTCAAATATTTATAAATGAGATTCTGATGTGTAATTGTTTTATTTTAAAATATTAACCAGTGTGCTCTCTATTCTTTTTTTTTTACCCTGATTCCAAATAAGCTGTTACAGTATTATACTGTTTATTTGCTAAGACATTCTTGGCATGTAAAGATACTTAAAAATATCTTTAAGACATTTTAAGAGACCGCTAACCCCACCACCACATAGACCTGTTAAATTATAAACCCGGTAGGTATTCACATTTTCTTGACCTAAAGTTTATTTTGTCTACTTCTTATGCCAGTGATAAATTTATTTCCCTTCAGCCCAGAAGACTGTCATACCTAGTTTTTCAAAGGAGAGCGCGTGCACCAGTGTCTATAGCTATCATTACAGCCATCATAGTGGAGAAGGAGCATGACTTTGTCTTTTAATGAAAATGCTTTTCTTTCTTTAATTTATTTTTATTTTATGTCTGATTGTTTTGCCTGAATGTCTATGTGTACCACATGCATGCAGTGCCTGTGGCGACCAGAAGAGGACATCAGTCTCCTGAAACTGGAATTTCATAGAGTGTGAGACACTCTGTGGGTGCTGGGAAGTCAGCCAGGTCCTCTTAAAAGAGCAGCAAGTGCTCCTAAATGTTGTGTCATCTATCTTGTCTGTCTGTCCGTCCATCCATCAATCCATCCATCCATCTGGCTGGGTCTCACTACATAGCCCTGGCTGGCCTGGAACTCACTGTGTAGGTCAGGCTGGCCTTGAACTCAGAAGAGAAGCCTCTGTTTCCCAGGTGTTGACATTACAGACATGTTTTACCCTGACCTGAGTAAGATTTTAAGGTTTAAGAAGAAGCTGCAGACTGAGCTGTTCTTTTCCTTTACAGATGAGCAGTCAAGGTCTTGTGCTATAAAGTCTTATTTTAATGGGTGGAAAGCAATTCATTGGTCGCTTCTTAATGGAGTTTGGACACAGGAAATGTACTTTAAATTATTTTTCCTTGTGTTGCGGTTTATTAAAACTCCATCTTGTAACATTCATTGTAAAAAAAACAGCATTTTCTGTGAATAAATGCATGCCACTTAAAATAATTATCACTAAATTATTTTGCTAATGGTGTTTTACTTGAGAAAATTAGATATTTATTTCATAGCAACATTTTTGTTTCTGTTTTGAGACAGGATTTGACTGTATAGATCTGTAGATGACCTTCCATGAAGTCTTTTCTGTTTTTTGTTTGTTTTAATTTGAAACACATCCCAGTAGGAGATGGAAAGGTGTCTTTAGATGTTGCCTTGAGTGCTCTTAGCCTACGTAGCTGTGATAGGGTATCTGTGCTGAGGAACTGTTCTTTTCCCTCTTGGAGATTATGCCAGTGAGAATTTGGGGCACATAACTAGAACAAGTCTAGGGTGTTTACCTGTTGGTTAGGTGGATCAAGCTGTTAATATCACCATTCAATACAATGTATTGTACCATTCAATACATCGGCTTTTGCACTTTTACTTGTGTGTTTTCTGTCTTGCCTGTCAGTGTGTGTTGGGGGGTGCCCTCAGTAGGTCTCATGGAGTTACAAGTGGTAGTGAGCCACCAGTGTGGGTTCTGGGAACCAAGTTTGGGCCTCTGTCTTCTAATAGTAGCAAGTGTTTGCTCTTAGCCACTGATCTTTTCCAGCCCCTTGGTGGTTTCTGCTTCCTGTTGGGAACAGGGTGGAAGTAGAATGGTGCAGAATCTGCATTCAGAGCTCGATGGCTTTTCAGTTAGTGGTCGTGCTTGCCTTTGCTCTGAGACAGGCCAAGCAGACCTGCACACATAAAGGTGTGCCACCACACCTGGCTGGCCCTTTCAGATAAAACAAAGCCAGCGACGGGAAATAAAGGGAGATGTTATAGTGCTTGGCCTGTGCTAGGATTTTTTGACTTCGGTTCTAATTTCTTAGCTCGTGTATTGAGTTGTTAACTGTCTTGACAGGGTGTGAGGATTAAATACAATAATATTTGTTGGAGTGTTAGGGCATAACAAGCATTTATAAGCTGTCAGTCATTCTAGTGTCATTTGTCAGCACAATTAAGGAAGTGTCTTCTAGAACACAGGTATGAGCCTTGAACAGCTGAGTAGTCTCTCTGGCTCTGCCTTGAACAACTTTAAAGTCCATGTATTTTTAATGCTTTGGGACATTTTTGCTTCACTGCCCACTCCTATACCCCCAGTGAAAATCATAGCAGTCATGTTGTAAGAAAACGTTCCTATATATTTGTTTGGTTTTTGTTGTTGTTCCAACCTGGAAGAATTCCCCCCCCCCCCCCCGAGCAGTTTTCTCTTAGGGAAACATTTGACATCTAAAGATATTTTAGATTGCCATGATCTGAATGGGTGCCACTGGTATCTGTGACTAATAGAGCTGACTTTTGATAATTTGTGATTTTTTTTTTTATAGTCAGCTGTAGCAAAAAAAAAAAAAAAAAAAAAAAAAAATTGGAATGTTGGAATCAGTCCTTTAATATAAATGGTTTCTAAATAACTGTTGTTAGAGCCAGGTTGTAACTCAGAGACAGGATCTCTAAGTTCAAGGACAGCCAGGGCGACACAGAGAAACCCTGTCTCAAAAAAAGCAAACAACCAAAAGTGACTGTTGTTGGTACATTTTGAAGTAGGATTACTCAGTACTGTTCCTGCTTTTTTCCAGATGAGCCCACAAGGTCATTGAGTGGTCTGATCTTGAAGAATAATGTGAAAGCTCATTTTCAGAACTTCCCAAATGGTGTGACAGACTTTATCAAAAGTGAATGTCTAAATAACATTGGTGACTCCTCTCCTCTGATCAGAGCCACTGTTGGTAAGTTCTGTTACAGAAACTTTGCATGTACTTTTTCTACCTGATTATTTTTAGAAATAGGATGCTATTTTTGTAGCAGTTTTCGTTTTTCCATTTGAAGTTGTGATGGACAGCACTGCCTTTTAAATCCTTATGTATCTCATTCGCCTTTTCAATAAAGGCTTTGGAACCCAGTGAAACCAAGGACAATGATTGCTAATTAATCATTATTAATGGGGCATCGAAGGTTGACATTAGGACCTCTGCCTTTTCTGTGAGGACTTGTACATCAGGATTCTGTATTGTCTGTAATGCCTTGGGTCATTTTTGGGGTCACTAACAGGTACAGAAAGTCTTGTTCTATAGCATCAATCTTAAATATAGGAGTATAAATTTTTACTGTTAACGCTTTCCAGTACCAGCCTTCGTTATATCTGCCTGACAGCAGGGTTTGGTTTCTTTGTTTAAGTCTTTTCAGTGTACAGCTTGTTTTCGGGGATTGAATTGTTTATGTAGTAGTGAAGTAAGATAGTAGCTGGCCTAAGTCTCAGGGAGCACCCAACTGGCCACTTGGTAAGTACATGCCAGCATCTCACCACAGACAGCTGTCGTCAGAGAAGCTGCCACTGACAGCATGCCACAGGTCTAAGAGCCTACCTTCCACCGTGGCCATAGCTAGCAGTTTGTTTAAATGAAAGGCTGAAATAAGTTGGTATTTTATTAAATGTTCCTTGTTTGGGGAGGAGGAGCCTTCGTTTTATACGTTTTCTTTTAAGTTTGAGAAGTACTGTTTGTGTCTATGAGGCTCTGATTCTCCTCAGGCATCTCCATATTAAAGAATGCCATTATTCTGACTTCAGGTTTGGGGACTGTGGTACATTTGTAGTTTGGGGGTACAAACTCAGACTATAGATTATTTTCTTATACTTACATATCCTCTATTAAGGATCGCCAGCTCTTGGTAGTGGTGAAAAGAATGGAGTGCTAGCAGTATTCTGTTTAAAACCAAGAGGAAAAAAATAGATGTAGTAAAATGGGATTAAAAAAGTTTCCTTAAGGAAAAAGTTCAGTTGAAAGGAAAGGAGTTAGTGAGATACAGAAATTAAATGAAGATTGTTGGCTCTCTCTAAACCTGCCTCTCCTATTTAGTCTAAACTAAAGTACTTTGTATCTTAACTGTGGAAGGCTGGAAGTACTGGGAGAAAAGAATTGATTTTCCTTTTCAGTGAGTGAAGACTGGATTTCTTTCACCAACAGTCTTTGAAAGTATTTGGAATCTGGGTCTATTTTAGGATTATGCCCCCTATGGTTCTAGGAATTGTGTTTCATAAAGTCTTTATGGTTCTTGAGTTTTAGGTCTTATTTTTATTATGTGCTCTGGTATTCCAATTGTGAGAGGCCACTGACGTTTTTCAGTATAACCAACAGTTTTTATCTAGCTTCAAATGTAAGTGCAGTGTATGTTTCTAGCAATGTCTGGAATATTATAAACAATAATTACAAGTTCAAAGGTGGAAATGGATAGAATAGCTAAAACAATGACTGACATATGTTAGAGACTGGCTGGTGGTGAGTGCATTTAATTTAGTTCATTATATTTCTTCACTTCTACATACAAATTAAATATCCCTTGGGGTTCTGGGATGTTTACTTTTGTTTTGCCAGTTGAACAGCCTTTACCAGAATTCACATTGCTATAAAATCTGAATGTTCTGAGACAGTCACACTGTTGTATCTCCGGGTGGCCTGGAACTCACCGTGTAAAACAAGCTGGCATGGAACTCAATGATACCTCCTTGCTTCTGCCCACTGAGTGCTGGGATTAATTAAGGCATGAACCAATACACCTGGCTAATAATTTCTGATAATTTAAAACTCTGAAATACTAACTTCATAAAGCTACCAACTTGAAATAGTTAAACAGATTGTCCAGTTAAATTATTTGCTTTGTGTTAGTTAAAAGTAAAAGACCAGTGATACTCAAAGGTGACAAAACCATGCAGATTTACTTTGCTCATGTCTGAGAATGAGAGGTAGTGAGGTGCTGAACCCAGGTAGACACCTCTACCCCTCTAAAAGTTTAGGAGACATCACAGAAGAGCAGATAGGAAGAGTGTAGTGAAGAGGGCTTCAAAATGCTGTTTTTGGACAGGCGATGGTTTTTATTCACGTGCCCTGGGACGTCAACCAGACTGCTCCTGTAAAGTCTGTCATATGTGGAGGAAGGTCTGACTGAACTGTGGCTTCAGAAATATTCTGGGAGACGTGTAATCCTCCTCCATTGGAGGAGTTCCTGGGGTCCCACTACCTGCTGAATTACTAGCTTTTAAAATATTCTGGGAGAGGTGTAGTCCTTGTGAGCCCATGAAGCTCTGGCACATGGTTTTAAAGGGTAGGTCACAAATGAAAGACATGAATATGGAAAAGGGGTTGTAGGAAGAAGGGAGGGTGTTGAGAAGAATGAGAATAAGAGGGTGAGTAACTAGGCTGTGTGAGACTGTCAAAGGACAACTAATATAAAAAACTAAAAATAAAACCTTTGTCATTTTCCCTCGTTCTCCTTCTGTTTTGATGCGGAATAAAGATGGTAGAACAGGTTGAAGAGGAGAAACTACTGGGTGGGACACTGTTAAAATTTAAAGTAGTTAGTTGCAAATCATCCTCTAGAATCACATGAAGGATCACCTAGAATTGTTGGGGGGTTTGTTTGTTTTAACTCAGGTCTTTGGTTGTTTTTGCTTCAGGGAAATAAACACAAGCATATTGTAAAACATTGATGGTATCCAGGAAATCTGGGAGTTTTTTATTTTATTCTTATATCTTAAGTAGTTAATCGTAGTTCACGTGAGAACAGATTTAAAACACTTTTGGGAATATGTTTTGTAGTAGTTATCTGAAAGGCATTTCTAAGAATTGGAGACCAGATCTTCACTCATCAGCCTTGACAGAAAGTTCTTGAGACTTGTGTAATGGTACACCATGTTATTAGTGTATAGGATTTCTACCTAGACCAACATGTTACAACCTCAACTCTCTTGGCATTTCAGGCTAGATTGATTATTTATGTATGTATGTATGTATGTATGTATGTATGTATGTATCTATCTATCTATCTATCTATCTATCTATCTATCTATCTATCTATCTATTTATTTTGTGGTTGGGCTCTTTTGTGAACTGTGGGATGTTGCCTCTCCAGGTTCCCTTAGGATGCCATAGCTGCAACACTTGTTCTGTGCCGATCAAACATGCCACATTGCCAATTACTGAACTTCCTAAGGGCAAGGACCGTTTGCTAATTTTAGCTTTCTTATCACCCAATACAATACTTACCATATTAAGAACTTAGTAAATTTCTGATTGTAAAAATAATCTTGCAACTTTGGGTTTTAAAAATTTAAGATTTATTTTGAGATGGGATCTTGCTTTCTATTCATTTTCCTGGGCTGTAGCTACAGGAATGTGCCTACTGCACCCAAGTTTTAATTGCTTCTTCCTCTTCCTGTTGTATGTTGTAAATCTTGTCAAGAAAATTTATTTGGAAGGTACTTCATTTTAATAATGATTGTGTGCTAAATCATTGGATAAATTGCTTGTCTTACAGAATAATTCATGGCTTGTTTGTAATTTTAGTATTCCAGTTGGACACTTATGGAAAAGTTTGCGTAAGATTAAGTCATAGAACATAACTAGCCTTATTGGGGCCAGAGTATTATTTTAAGTTCTTAAGATTTTAATGAGTATTATCAAACACAATTATAGTTCTCATATTTGTTCTTTTTGGTTTTGTGAGATAAGGTCTCAGTAGTCCAGGCTGATGACCTGCCTGATCCTCTTGCCTTCATCTCTTGAGTTTTGGAGTTCCAGGCATTCAGTACTACATCCAGCTCTTATAGTTCCAGACACTGAAAATTTCCTGCCACTTTTTATTTTTTCAACTCTTCTTGGTTATTAGGATTTTTTTTTTCCCCAGGAGTAGATGGTGTTATGGGGTTACATAATTTGGAGTTGGTTAATCTGTCAACATTCTTTAATGCTTCCCTAGCAAAAGTAATGTCATTCAAGTTGTAGACTGTGTCTGTTTTGTACAGTTGGTGTCTCTGAAGTTTTGTTTTGTTTCTGTTCCTGGTTGGTGGTGGTTGTTTGTTTCCACACAACCACCCAAGTTTCTCTGTGTGGTCTTGGAAGATCTCTTAAAGACCAGGCTGGCCTCAGACTCCTAGTTGTACCTGCCTCTGTCCCAAGTGCTGGAGCTAAAGGTGTACACCACTGAGTCTGGCCTGGCTTTGAGCTCTTGATCTTCCTGCTTCCACTTTCCAAATCTGGGATTACAGTTTCAGTAGCCACAGAGTCCTGTGTTCTTTTATATTTTCACTTTAGAAAAGAATAATTGACAGGAAGAACAAGATACTGATGCCTAATTGATTCTTGCCTAAAGGCTAGTAAGTGATTGGTATCTTTAAGAGGCTTTCAGTACATTTTCTTTTTCTACTGGGTTTCCCTCTTTTTGAAAAGTAAATTTATTGTTTTTTTGTTTGTTTGAGAAAGGGAGGTTCTCACTATGTAGTTCTGTTTGACTCACTATATAGGCCAGGTGGCCTCTAGGTCACAGAGATCTTCCTTTGCTTCCCTGAGTGCTGGGAGTAAAGGCATCCAGCAGTTTTGCTTATTGCTGGAAACAGTCTTTTTAAAAACTAAAGATGAAATAATAAAGTTTGTGTTCACTCTACAGCTTGTTCAGTAATAATTCAGTATCAGTTAGATGCCAGGTATTTTTGTGTCAATTTTTCTGAATTTTCAGAATAACCCTATGAAGAAGTTATTTTTCTATTTTGTGACTTAGATTATATGTAATTTACCTACATCAAATTTTATACCTTCATGGTATGAAAATATCCATAGCCACCAAATATTATGCAACCAATAATGTATTAAGTTGGAGGGAAATTTTAAGACAAAACTCATCCGATTTTTGTGTATTACACAGCGCATAACACAGTTTAATTAGTCCAGCCAGAAGGAGATGGCCTGTGAGCAAATGCCACCAGTGTGGGCTGTTGGTGGCTACATAACTATCTACTTGGATGGGGCCCTTGAACAGCATGTGGACACACTGGATTGCTCTGCAGTTGGGACCCCTGCTTGCGTCCCCGCTGTAGTCCCAGCTGTAATTCCATCGAAGTTGGAAGGGTATTGTTAGCGTCTCTTGCTTGTTTTGCTTTTAGAGACAGGGTTTCTCTGTGTAGCCCTGGCTGTTCTCGGCTGACCAGAGTGGCCTTGAACCCACAGAGATTGATCTGCTTCAGAACCTCTTGAGTGCTGGGATTAAAGGCGTGCACCACCACCTGGCTTCTTAGCTTCTTGAAGGATCTTTAATTTGAACTATTGAGAGCATTTTACTATATTTTTTTCTGTTTATTTGTTGGTTGTCTTCATGAAATTTTGGTTAATTTTAATTAGTGGAATTAATCAGATTGTAGGGGTTTTGTACAGATAGATGTGTGGTGAAGTTTTAAAAATTGGAGAAAATATTGGGCAACAAGATGAAAAACATCTGATTTACACTGTGGTATGCCCCTCCCCCCCCCCATACAATGCTAGGGAAATGATGGCTGAGATTGCAGTTTGGATCTCTTGGTGTATATATTTTGAAATGTTGTGCATGCACCTCACTCAGTGCAATAAGCTCCAGTGTGTTGTTCTTCTAGGTATTTTAATTACAACCATTGCCTCCAAGGGAGAACTGCAGAATTGGCCTGATCTCTTACCAAAACTCTGTAGTCTGCTGGATTCTGAGGACTACAACACTTGTGAGGTAACATTGTTTGCTTCTGATCTTTGCTTCATGCCATATGGTAGCCTTTGGGAAAATGCTTCTGAAGGAAACAGCTTCAAAACCAGAAGCCTAAAGCTGCCTTTGTAATTTATATTTGTTACCTTTTACTGTTTTCTGGGAATAATATGACAAATCTCTTCACTGTGTTTTCTATAAAGAAATACTTTATCTTTCTAAGGTTATTCTTAAATGTTACATACATGTGATTTAAGAGCTGATTCTACTATATTTAATTCATTTTTTTAATTTTATGGGTGGGAGTGTTTTGCCTGCATCTATGTGTATGCTACATTTATATACAAGCACTGCATGCGTGTGCAGATGCACACGCACATGCTGGGAACCGAACCTTGAGGAACAAGCACTCTCACCCCACCAGAGAGCCATCGCTCCAGTCCTTTATTGATGTCTCACATATTTAAAAGGAAACTGAAATTCACCAAGACACCAGACCATGAATTGTTTTTAGTTTATCTAAATTAATGACATACAATAAAAGGCGCAAACATTTTTAATCATACATGAATTTTTATTCTGATCTCTTGATTTTGTTTTAGTTTTTGAGATTTTTATTTGCTTCTTTGTTTTGGATTTTTTGTTTTGGTTTGGTTTTGGTGAGTGAGTTTTTATTGTCACTTATGTTTAAGGCAATGAAGAAAATGTTTTGTGGCTTTATGTTTCTGTTTTTTGGTTTTTTGTGATTTGGTTTGATTTTTTTTTTTTTTTTTTTTTTAAGACAGTCTCTTCTGGTCCTCCTAACCTACCTCGTCCCAAATGCTGGGATTACAGACATGAGCCACCATGCCCAAATAGAATTCCTTTCTTACAGTTTCTCAATGTTGATGAGCACTGATATATTTGATTTACTAGCAGGTTTCCTTCCTTCTTTCTTGGAGACAGGGTCTCACAGTGTAGCTCTGGGTTGCCTAAAATTCCTAGAGATCTGACTATCTTTGTTTCTGAGAGATAGAATAAAAGCAGTGTGCAGACATTTAGGTGCTTTGACTCTTAAGCAGGGCATCGTGGAGGCAGAGATAAACAAGTGGCATCAAGTTTATGGCTAGCCTGGCTTGTCTAAAGGAGCAGTGATTTGGGAGAGAAGAGAAGGATTTTGGCAAAGTGATCTCTTCAGTCACTCTTTAAAATGTAATTCTCAGATGTGTGCTGGAGTCCCTGGGAAAAACAGTGACACAACTTAAATAGCACTTTGACATGATGATAAATATAAAAAATGAAATATAACAAAGCAGTTCCCGAGAACAGAAGTATAAACTATACTGATTGTAAAATTGTAAGGTGCTGTGCTGAAGATGTAGGCTTCCTCAACGCTGGCACAGAATAATTCCTAAATGGGTGTTTTTAGTGGAAATATGATGGGGAGGTTGTTTATTTTGCTTTTTGTTTTTCTTTGTCTTAAAAATTTCATTCCTCTGTCAGGCAGTGGTGACACACACCTTTAATCCTAACACTCAGGAGGCAGAGGCAGGTGGATCTCTGTGTTCCAAACCAGCCTGATCTACAGAGTGAGTTTTAGGTCACCCAGGGCTACTCAGAGAAATCTTGTCTTGCGAGAGAGTGTGTGTGTGTGTGTGCGCGCGCGCGCGCGCGCGCGTGCCCTCGCATGTGCGCTTCTTTATTATTATTATTTTGGTAGCCACTTAGTTGAATTTTTATTGCTACAACAGGAAACAAATGAACATTTGACTTTAGTCATTGGCTTTTAGAAATACAACTTGTTTGCAAAAAACTTAGTATTCAAGTATAGCTATTTTAATATAGCTAAAACCTAGGTAATGCATGTTAAATCTAAGACTGACTTTATATTTTTGATAAAGTTTTAAGTTTAAATTTTAAAATTTATTTTTTCAGGTATTGTAAAGAATAGTAGAATAGTCACACTGCTTTTGCTAGCACTGTTAGAAACTAACTGTCTGCAGTTCTCTATCAAGTTGTCAGTGATGGACGCAGAAAGAGTGAAGTAAGCAATTGACCTACTCAGTAGGTCATGCTGTGTGCAAGAACTCCAGGTTACCCTCTTGTCAAGAAAAGTGATTAGGGGAAGAAGTTGTCAGTGGAGTCTCCTCTCTTACTATGTTTTGTTGTCAGTTTCCTAATATATGGCTTGTATATGATTGTTTTAAAAGTTGTAGGTTATATATTTCAAAATGAATGCATGTTAACAGTGGTTAGGTAGCTTTACATTCATTTTAGCATTTAATAAGACAATTTTAATATGGACTTAATTGATAACATTTCAGTGGAATTAGATCTTGAGATTAGATATTTCTTATAATTAACAAAAATGTTTTCCAGTTTTAACTTACTTAATGCTAAAACTTTAAATGTATCATTAGGATGGTATTTTCATTTATGCTCTGAATTAACTTTAAGTTTTATAAAGCAGCCAGGTGTAGTGGCACATGCCTGTAATCCCAGCACTCAGGGAGGCAGAGGCAGGTGGATTTCTGTGAGCTCTAGGTCAGCCTGGTTTACAAAGCGGGTACAGGCCAGCCAGGGCTACACAGAGAAACTGTCTCTCATTCATATTCTCATATATATATATATATATATATATATATATATATATATATAAGCATTTGGGCAGATGATGTCATGGCATCTAAATTAATTAGCATGGCGTGCATTTTGGGTTTTTGCATTGTTTAGCTTTGTTTTTAGTCTGTTTGTTTGAGATATGGTCTTACTGTGTTGTCTAGACTGGTCTCAAACTAGTGGTCTTCATGTGTCATGAATCCCCAAGTGCTGGGATCCCAGACCCTGGGCTCTGTCACTTGAGCATGTGTAGCTGCTTTCAGTGAGCTCTGATGTTCTGCCCTGTCTCTTACAGGGAGCGTTCGGTGCCCTTCAGAAGATATGCGAAGACTCTGCAGAGATTTTAGACAGTGACGTTTTAGACCGCCCTCTCAACATCATGATTCCCAAATTTTTACAGTTTTTCAAGCACAGTAGTCCCAAAATAAGGTGTGTATGTAGCAGGGTTGGTCGACCATTAAAATTGTTACCTGCCTCGTCACATCCAAATGCTTAAATAACTAAAATTCTATTAGGGCAACATTGATATACCCGTGTCCATTCAGGTGAATGAGATTATCTGATGTTCTTTGAACTTTTGAACAAGATAAGTTCTTTCCTACCTACCTCTATTTCCAGATCCAGTTCTGTCATCTTTTTTTGCTTTTCTTCATCCTGTAAAGAAAATTCATGAGTGAATGATAATGAAAACATGTTTTCGTTGAGTTATTAACTGTTGTTACTCTAAAGGTTTTACATCTGATTTAAATACGTGGGCCCCAGGTCCTTTTAGATCCCTGAAATGACCCGGCAGGCTTCTGTGGAAGCTCCTCACGCTAGTGTAGACTCATGTCCTTTCTTCACCTTAGCAATCACAGTCTCTCCAGTGCTGCCTGCCCGAGTGACCAGAATAAATTAGCCTGTTGCCATCAGCTTCCCTTGCAAGTTATAATTACAGTGTTAATGGAAGTATGTAACTCTGTAGTGTCTCCTTTATTTTCTTGAGCTATTGAACTTTCTGACTTTTTGGGTGTATAGATGGTTGACTCTCCTAACTTGTTATTAAGGAAAATAAGGTTGTTTCTATTGTCAGTTTCTTTGATAGTTTTGTTGTCAGTTTTTCATATATCTCCATACAATAAACAGATGTATTGGCTTATAAATAGGAATCATTGGCTAGAAGAAATCAATCACTCAGTGGTGAGTGACCTTGAGTGCAGACTGTAGCTATTAGCTGGGCCTCAGTATTTTATCCCATGGATGTGTTTCAACTGTGTGAGCAGAAAGCTGACCTGACTTTATTTCTTGATTAAATTATCCTTTACATGTTGTTCGTGTACAGCTGTTGTCCCTCCTTTGGTAGCTAATCTCCCCTTTTCTAGTTCTTTTGGTGCTGTCCTGTGTTACAGCGTGTGTGTATGTATTCTTAAAGTGTGATGCCACCTTTCTGGATAAGGCTCACTTCACTCACACATCTCCTGCTCTGTCCATTTCTGCAGATGTCTTGAGCTCATTCTTCACAGCTTTGTGAATAAAATTCCACCCTGTAATGTGCCATGTTTTCTTTATCCATTCATCGATAATGGACGTCTAGGCTGGCTGTATTCCTTGGTTTAGTGATTGGTGTGTCGGTGAACTTAGATCTAGAAGCTCCTGGGCTTTAGGATCTTCTGTGTGTGTGTCCCTAGGCATGGCACGTATGTATGCTGGTCTGTATTTAGTGTTTTGAAGAAGCTGTACTGATTTACATGGTTGCTGTTCCCATCTTCAGCAAAAGTGGTTCCTCTTCTCGGTATCCTTGCCAGCATTTGTTGTAAGTCATTTTTAAATTATAGCCATTCCAGTGGGAGTAAGGTGAAATCTCAGTGCAGTTTTAATTTACATCTCACTAGTGCCGAAAGATGGGGACACTTTCAGGTATTTATTGATCGCTTTGCATTTCTTTGAGACTCTTCAGCTCATTATCCCATTTAGTGATTATTTAGGTTTTTTTTGTTCTTCATGATTGCATATTGATCTTTGATATGTAGGTGTCAAAGTTTTCTCCTGTTTTCTGTCTGCTTTCCTCTAGCGGTTTCAGTTTTCAGGTCTTAACATTAAAGGCTTTGATCCGTTTTGAATTGGTTTTGTTGTTTTTGTGTGCGAAGTATAAAGTATGGAACTAGCTGGTTGTTAATGTTCTGCTACCAGGTTTTCCTAGGAACGTGTGTAGAAGAGGCTGTTTCTCAATGTTGGAGACCTTTTCGGGGATCGGGTAGATACAGATGAGTAGTTGCCTTCCAGCCCTGTGTTTTATTTTGTGGGTGTTTCTGTGTGTGTGGTACAGTCTATGTTACTATGACTCTAGTGGATGGAATCTGAGCTCAGGGACTATATGCTGCCGTAAGCACCGTTTAGTGTTTACGGTTGTGTGGCTGTCCATTGTCTTGTGATTCCAGAGGAGTGTGAATTGTTAGTAACTTGGGCATTTTAAGTGGCTTTTTTATTTGTATGTCTGTTTGAATGCAGTGTTTCCTTGACCAGTTTTCTGGGCTGGAGAGTTGGCTCAGCACTTAAGAGCACTTACTGTTTCAGATGATGTAAATTCATTCCCAGCACCCACATGGCAGTTCACAAGTGTCTATAATGCCAGTTCCAGGGCATCTGACATCCTCAGGGAGACAGATATGCATGTGAAATAAGAATAAATGAAATTTTAAAAAAATTTTATGTGTCTGCGTGTTTTGCTAGCATGTTTGTCAATACCATAAGCATGAGGTGCCATGGAGGCCAGAAGTAGGTTTTGGCTCTCTAGAACTGGATTTACAGACGGTTGTGAGCTGTCCTGTGGTGCTGGGAAGAACCTGGATCCTCTGTAAGAGTAAGCAGCGCTTTTAACCACTGAGCCGCCTCCAGCTTCGCTTTGATACCTTGCCTTGTATCTCTGATAATTCTTTTATCTGCTTTGTTGATTGTCTTGGTGATATATTTTACTTTGCTTTTTAATTTAGCTTATGTGAATTTTTCATATCTAACATTTCTGTTTCTTTTTTCTCAAAATCTCTATTGGCTCACTAGAGTTCTCTTTTATTTTGCATTTTTTAGCTATATGACTAAGGTTTTCGGCCACTTTGCCTACTTTCTCCTCTGTGCTACTGCCTTTCCTCCAGGTGCTGTCTTGATTTCCTCCCTAAGTCATCTATGTGTTTACATCCTTTTAGAAGACATTGATCATTTTCTATTAAACTTGGAGAGGTCATCTAGCATTCCACACATTCAACCTGAATTCATTAGAGGACTTGTGATCTTTAAGGGAGCCTTTCCCTTTCAGATTTCTTTGTTCTCTATGTTGCAGTTTGTGCTACTCTTGGTTTGGATACCTCGCTCTTCCTCCTTTATTTGGGGATCTTGTTAGTAGCCTACTTTGGTGGGCTCTGTTAATTCTCAGTTCCACTTAGTGAGGAACAAATAAATAGTTATAGCAGCAAATAGTGCATGAGAGGCACATAGGAAAAATCAGTGGGTACGCTATTCTTTAGCAAAGAATAGAAAACAATGTAATGAGTATATTATGAAATTAAAAATTTAGAGTAAATGTGGAAATAGTAAACAGGTCAGATAAAGGAATGAGCAGGGACTCCGGAACACAAGGTTAAGTAGATGGAAGGGACAGTTATGAAGGGGAAAGAAAACAGGTAGTTAAAAAGTAAAAAGGATTCTCCAGTAACAAGAAAATATGTGAATAAAAGAAGATGAAAGTAAGAAGGGGAATAAAAGATAACAAAGGCTTTTTCAAAATTAAAAGAAGCTGTGTGTGGCAGCATTCACCTTTAATTCTAATATTAAAAGAGGCGGAGGAGGCGGATCTCTGAGTTTGAGGCCAGCTGGTGCACATAGTAAGTTCCAGGACAACCAGGGCTACATAGAGAACCCTTATCACAGCAAATAAATAAAAGTTACTTCTGAAGGTCTATTTATTGGTGTTGGAGATGTGGCTCAGCATGTACAGAGGACCAGAGTCAAGTTCCTGGGGCCCATACAACGACCTCTTAAGTTGTGACAACCCAGGCGGCTGTAGGGCACGCCTATAATCCCAGTGCTTGGGAGGCAGAGACAGGCAGATCTTTGTGTTTGAGGCCAGCCTGGTCTACAGAGCTAGTTCTAGGACAGCCAGGGCTGCACAAAGACACTGAGTCTTGAAACACTTCCCCCTCCTCCCCAAAGAAAAAAATTGTCAACTCTGAGGGCCCTTGCCACAAACAGACACAGATACATGATTTTAAAATAACCAGGGGTGGGGAGATGGCTAAGTGACTGTGTGCACATTGCTCTCTTAGAAGACCCATGTTTGGTTCTTCCGTATTCAGAGGCTCTGGTGCCCTTTTCTGATCTGCAGGCTTGCACACACATAGTACAGATGTGTGCAATATAAATAAATAATAAATAAATATAGATAAATAAATAAAGATAGATGCAGGTAAAATATTCATACACCTAATACAGAAATAAAATTTTAAATCTTTAAAAATACAGAATTCTACTAGAAGTTTTAATACTAGAAGTAAGAAGAATTGAAGGGCATTAAAAAAAAAAAAACAACTGGCTGATGGAAATAAATAAACTAATACATGAAAGATAGTAAAAATATAAAAAGGTAAAATTGCTAAGTAGAAAAAAGAAAGACAATAGTAGACACCTGTGGGGAGTCTTACTGGAGCCCGCCAGGGTTGTGCCGGCTGTGGGAAGGTCAGTTGTACTTGGAATCTCTTTGCTTATAGTTCATTCTAGTCAAAAGCTTGTGTAAGTGTCTTCACTTGTGCTTTGTTGACACCAGCATTCCCTGCTGGTCACAGTGGAGACAACCCCAGTGCTGAGATCTGCGTATCTGGAACTCCTTAGCTACTTTAAATCCTGAGTATTATTCACCCTGCTGGCAGGTGGAGCTATGGGTGTCAGGTCATCTTCTGGAGCGTTGGAGTTCTGAGTTGCTGACAGATAGCCAGCTCCAGAGGTGAGTCTTCTGCTGACATCAAGTGGTCATCTGACCTCAGGCTGAGTTATTCTCAGATGATGAGTTTGCCTCTTGTGCACTTCTGCCTGCACAGAGGCCCTGTCACATTTGCTGTCAGTGTCTGACCTTTGTTTTCTCTTGTCTTCCAGGATTGTCCCTCGTTCTGGGTCTCTGGCAGGTTGAATTTGGGCATGTTAAGTCAGGTCCCCGGACTTCGTTTTCTGTTCTTAGGTCCCTTGGGTAGCTCAGTTTTAAATAGTAGTGTCCCTCTTAGCATGCCACTGGGCCACAGCCCCCTGAGCCATTGGAGACTGTTTTCTGCTGCTTTTCTGTCCTGGTGTAAAGGGCATGGTCTCAACAAGGATTTGAGGTTTGAGAGAGGCTTGTCCTGTGCATAGGACTCATTTTCAGATAAGCTTATGTTTTCCCTACGCCTGCCATAGGCATCATTTATTTGGCTTTATCACGCCTTTTTAAATTACTTTTGTTGTTTGAGATTATAGTATAATCACATTATTTCTACCTCCAAACCCTCCTATATACTCCCCCCTGTCTTTCAGAGTTTATGGCCTTTGCATTACAGTCACATTGGTGAGACATTATAGGTGTCGCTTCACAAACTCCCCAGTCCTCTGACTTAGTAGAGTGATGGATGTTGGCTCTTCTGTAAGATCCATAACTTCTCTAGCTCTGGGGACTTGTCTATATTTCTAGCACTGGGCATGATTCCCATCTTGTTGAACAGGTCTTAAGTCCAGTTAGAGAGCTGTTGGTTACTGCCAAGGCATGTGTGCCACTGCTGCACCCTTCGGGTTGTCGTGCTGGTGTTGCCGGGTCCTAGCCCGACAGGGCTGCTCACCGCTTCTCTCCTTTGAAAGCTTGCAGGTGCCTTCTGCTACCATGAAGGTAGTCCTTAGGGAGAGGACATCCAGGTCAGCTCAGCTCAGGGGTCTATGAGCCCTGTATCTGAAGTGCGTGGTGTCTCAGCAGTAGGGACTTAACTTCCCACTTCTGAGTGCAACCAAGGGCAAGAGCAACAGACTGTAGTGTGTTATCTTACCTTACCGTCTCCGCTGATCTCCCTCCTGCCCTTTCCCAGATGCCTGCTATTCCCCTCTCTCTTGTTCCTCCATCAGAAGTCTTTTTCTTACTGTCCTGGTTTCTGCAGTGACTCGGGAATATGTACTATCTGAAGATTTGAGGCTAGGAGCCTCTGATGAGAGGGAACATTCATTGTTCGTCTTTCTGGATCTGGGTTCCCTCACACAAAATGAACTTTTCTAGTTCCTTCCATTTGCCTGCAAAATTTATGATTTTATTTTTTTTTACAGCCAAATAGTATTCCATACTGTAAATATACCACATTTTCATCGTCTATCTAGTTTATTTTTATTCCCTAGCTATTGTGAATAGAGCACCAATGGACATGACTGAACAAGTGTCTGGAGTAGGATGTTGAGTTCCTTGGCCTTATGCCAAGGAGTACTTTAGCTGGGTAATATGGTAGACCCACTTTTAGCTTTTTTGATCATTCTCCCAACTTTTCCTATAGTGACTATACCAGTTTGCAATCCCATCAAGAGTAAATGAGGTTCTCACTCCCCCATCATTTGTTGTAGGGATTTTTATTGATCTTTGCCATTCTGACTGGGTAAGATGAAATCTCAAAGTTGTTTTGATTTACATTTTCTAATTGCTAGAAGCAATGGACGTAGTTTAGATTTTTTAAATCCTTAACTGTTTAGGTCCTAGAACCATTTTGTGAATGGGTTATTTGGTGGTGGGTTTATTTGGTGGTTTTGGTGTTGGTTTTGGTTTCCTGTGAAAGGGTTGTTCATCCCCCAAAGGGGTTATGACCCCCAAGTATTAACCCTGTTGTCAGATGTCTAGCTGACAAAAATTCTCTCCTATTCTGTGGGCCTCTTTATCTGATTGATGATTGTTTCTTTAGTGGGGTAGAAGCTTTTTATTTTCCAAGTTCTACCTGCCAGTAATTGTTAACCTTAATTTGGGGGCAAGTAGAATCCTATTCAGGAAGTCTTTTCCTACAGCTAAATAATTTAGGGGGACTACCTATGTCATCTTTTAGCGGACTCGGTGTTTCAGGCTTTATGAGTTAGTTTTTGTGTAGGGTGATAGAACACTTCTAACTTCTATATGTGGACATCCAGTTTTCCCAGTACCGTTTGTTGAAGATGCTTTCTCTAGCCTGTTTTGAGGCTGTTTGTCACAAAAATAGCTGAAGTTATACATACTCATTTGGGTCTTTGATTATTTTTCCAATGGTCTACATATATCTTCTACCAGTAACATTGGGTTTTCTCTCTTTTTCTCTCTTTTTTGTTGTTGTTTGTTTGTTTAGACAGTCTGTAGTCCTGGCTGTTCTGGAACTCACTGTTCAGACCAGTCTGGCCTGAAATTCACAGAGCTCTGCCTGCCTCTGCTTCCCAAGCATTGGAATTTCATGTGTCCGCTACATACAGCTCATGTTGTCTTTATTACTGTGGTTCTCTAAGATACAGAATGGTGATCTCTCTAGCGTTCTTTTGCTCAGGATTGTTTTGGCTATCTGGGATTTTTTGTTGTTGTTGGGTTTTTTGGGGTTTTTTTTTTGTGGTTACATGTGAATTCTGTTTGTATCACATTTTAAATGTTGCTAATCAGGTAGATACAATGTTTTGTTACTGTATTGATTGTGTGCTTTTTATCATTAAGGCTGTTGACTTTGTATTATTATAAGCATTGCCCTTCACACTTTTGTTCATATTTTTATTAGAGCTTTTTTCTTTTTGATCTGTGGGTATTTAAAGATTTCTCTATTTCCTTCTGGCTCTTTTTAAGATTAGTTTATGATGCTGCTCAGTATGGTCTTTTAGCTCCTGGGCTCATGCTGTGTATCTCAGCCTTCTTGTGAACCTGAGTTTCTGAGTGCAAACCACCACGTGGCTCAGCATTACCTTCGTAATCTGTGACCCTTTAATACAGGTCCTCATGCTGTGGTGACCCCACCATAACATTTCATTGCTGCTTTATAACTGTATCTTTGCTGCTGTTATGAATCGTGATGTAAATATCTGATACGCAATTCCTGTGAAAGGGTTGTTCATCCCCCAAAGGGGTTATGACCCACAGATTGAAAAATGCTGCTGTGGAAGTCAGGGTTTCCTTTGAATAGCATATTTTCCCCTGACTGTCTTAGTTACTGCTCTATTGATGTGAAGAGACACCATGATCAAGTCAACTCTCATAAAAAGAAGCATTCATTTGGGGGCTTGCTTACAGTTTCAGAGGGTTAGTTCTTCTCATCACAGTGAGAAGCATGGTAGCATGCTGGGAGGTGCTGGAGCAGCAGCTGAGAAAATTACATCTTTTTTTTTTTTCCTTTTATTTTTTAAGTCTTTAAAAAAATTTATTACAATTTATTCACTTTGGAGAATGACATCTTGATGCACAGGCAGAAAGAGAGAAACTGGGGTTGACATGGGACTTGTGAAACCTCAGAGCCCATCCCACAATGTTCTCCATCAAGGCCACACTCAGTACTTTTTCAAACAGTTCCACTCCCTGGTTACTAGGCATTCAACTATGTTGAATTCTCATTTAAACCACTACATTAGCACATTCATTAAAATAATGTGTTCTCCTGCCAGGCATGATGGCACACACCTTTGAGCCCAGCTCTTGGGAGGAAAAGTCAAGTAGATCTTCAAGTTTAAGGCTAAATGGGGCTACATAGTAAGACCATGTCTTTAAAAAAGAAAATAATGAAGTTCCCGCTTTGGTTTAAAAAACTCACTTGTCCAATGTACATGTAGTTTCTTCTGGGTCCTTATTTAATGACCACAGGGTCATACTGGATTCTAGTGTGTTCTTTGAACAAAATTTTGAACTTTTGAGATTTTTAGCAAATTGCAGTCATTTTAAAATATAGCTCATAAAAGATTATTGGGAGCTACACAAGAAGGAAAGAGTTAGACAATGGAAGGTTTTAGGAATGCTGACTTTAACCTGTAAAAGTTATTTTCTGGTAGATATCAGTGCAAAAGGAAGTTGTGATAGTGTAGCAGCTGAGAGAATATCTTGATGAGAATAGAGTGATCACTGCAAGGCCAGATGCCCAGCTTGTGAATGTGGTAACTGAAAAGTTCTAGCTAGTAAAAGTATGGATTGAAGATAGACTAATATTATTTGGCCTGAAATCTACAGATATTATAAAATGGAAATTGGAATTGAAATGTATTTTGCTCTGCTTAAGTTTTCTTACTAATACTCAGATGCTTTTAAAACAAGGACTTTTATTTTTCCTTCAGCTTAAAAGTATTTAGTTTTATGGGGAAAAAAACTGCATTGTAAAATATATATATTTGGGTAGGTGCCATTTATATAATATCAAGCAGATCTTGCTCAGAAATAATTAAATCAAAGTATATGGCTAAGTGCCAGGAGTATTCTTCGGGTTTTTTGTTTGTTTTTTTTTTTTAAATAGATATATGCTGGTGTTGCTTCAGCTTTAGTTTCTGATTACTGTGTCACTAACATTCTCTGTTAATACACAGATTTTTGACTTACACTTTTAATGGATACATATAATATTTGTAGAGATGCACATTGAAGTTCTTGTGCTGTGAGCGTATATTAATGTGTACATTTGGTTTCTAGGTCTCATGCTGTTGCATGTGTCAATCAGTTCATCATCAGTCGGACTCAAGCACTTATGCTGCACATTGATTCTTTCATTGAGGTAAGATTCAGCCCTGCCCATGAGGACCACCCTGTGCTGAGGTTTCAGTTTATAGCTAGTAATTTACAATGTAGAAATAGTTACTACTGCTGATGGTATTAAAATCAGATATGATAGGACTAGTTTTTCTTGGCCAAAAATTAAAGCATTCTTTATGTGATAGAACATTGGAGATGTGATGCAGATACTGGCTATGGAGTGAATATATACAGTTCTGCCTACTAGCTTGACTACTTAGTAGAATTCTCTCTCGATAAAACCATTCCATTTTAACATGAAAATTGATTTTCCTAGCTCACGAGTAGGAAAATCACATGAGTGAAGCAAGAAATCACAAAACATTTAATAAACTTGGATGACATTGACTCATACCAATCCAGAGATACATCCTGAAAGGACAGCTTCTTCACAGTAGCCCTTACTGTCCACTGTGCATTGCATAAAGTGGCAATGCACATAAAATCTTAGGTGGCCTCCATATATATAGGCCACACCATTTAGGCAGGGCTTTCTGTTTTTCCATTGACTTTCATAGTAAATGTAATGGTATCAAGAAAACTATTAACTAGCTCTTAAATACTAAGTTCCATGTTTGTGGCGTAAATGCAGAAGAATAAGGCCATGATCCATAAACAGTACAATTCCTTTTCAGAAACGCTTGGCCTATTACAGTAGCTATAAAAGCTGAAATTATAGGTGGGGGTGGGAGGGTCATTTTATTTCTCTTAACAGCTTCTTTCCAAATTCTGTAGATCAGGTTGGCTTTGAACTCAGGGCATCCGCCTGCCTCTGGCCACCACTCCCAGCTGTGTATAAGACTTTGTAAGAAGCAGCCCATGCTCAATCACAGGCCTTTCCGTTCTCTCCCACCCTACTGTGCTACACACTCCAGGCTTCCTGGCCATTCTCCTGTCTCTACCTCCCAGCTCAATATAGGAGTGCTGGGGTACCACTACACAGGCTCTTTTTCTTTTTTTCTTTAAAAAAACAAAACAAAACATGAGTTCTGGGGAGAAAGTTGACTGGGGTAGACTTGCCCACACAAGCAAGCGTCTTTACTCACTGAGTCACTCAGATCTTTTTGATGTTTTTCAAGATGTATTCTTAGCTCTAGTTCACTGTGTATGTAGCCTAATATGACTTGAACTCCTGATCATCCTACCTTCATCTCAAATGATGGGTTACAGGCCAACCAGAGGACTCTAGGTTCTGTGGCCATCATAAAGTTGGCTTACTCTTAGTGAAAACTTGTTGATAAAATCAAAGTATCAGTGTCATGCAAGCCAGCTTCATTTTTAGCCGCTATTCACTAATTACGTATCTGGGAAATGAATAATAGTATCTTGGGCGTTGTGAGTGGGTATGTTAGTCTGTTGTCTCACACTCCCACTCCTTTAACCTTCAGAAGAATTTGTTAGAACCCTTGATTGCTGTTCCCTTTCCTCTCTACTAGTTGTAGCTGACTTGGTGAAGGTTGTTAACCTGCTCCCTCTGCTGCTCTTGGAGGGGGTTGAAGGCCAGGGCCCAATGATACAGTTCCATTATTTGTTTATTCCATTCATTTGTTGGTTGTTCTTTAAACAGGGTCTGACTCTATAGTTTGGGCTGGCTTGGAACTCACTATGTAACCATAGCTAGCCTAGCATTTCTGCCTCGGTTTTCAGAGTGCTAGGATTGTACATCCAACAATCCATTCTTACATACTTAAAAAAAAAAAAAAAAGAAAGAAAAAAAGAACCTTAAAGTACAAGTGAGCAGCTGAGAAGATGGTTCAGTCTGTAAAGTGACTTGTTCAGATCCCAGCATTCAACATAAAAGCCAACCTTGGCATTGCTTGTCTGTAACCCCAGCCCTGGGGTGGCTTAGAGACAGGGAGATCCCTCCAAGTTCCATATCTAGAAGAATGAGTTGGTGAGGCTTTGGGTTCAATGAGTGATCTTACCTAAAACATAATAATAATGTAGAGACTAGCTGTGGGACACCTCTGGCCTGCAATGCACATACGTGTTTACCTACACCACTCACACGAATATACACTGCACACAAAACCACCACTCAACATTAAGAATGGTATTTAGGCCACTGAGAGATGGCTCAGTGGTTGAGAGCATGGACCACTCATCTAGAGGATCTGAATTCAATTCCCAACACCCACATCAGATGACTCACAACCACCTGTAACTGCAGCTCCAAAGCATGATGCCCCTGGACTCTGTGGGCAGTGTACTTGTGTGCATACACAACCCCTGCATGTGCACGTACTTAAATAAATGTTTTTAAAAATATGTTGTCATGGTGCATACTTTCAATCCCAGCACTTGGGCACAGAGGCAGATGGATCTCTGAGTTCCAAGCCAGCCAGTAATACACAGAGACCTTTAAAAAAAAAAAAAAATCAAAAAAGAAAAAAAAAATTAAAAAGAAAAATAGAGTGACTTTTTATGTGATAGTCATGGTCTTTGGCAGTTGTGGCTCCACAGTTACTTAGCTGTCTGCTTTATCATTTGCTGTAAGGTGATTTTGGGGTTGGGGCAATATTTCTTTGTTTGGTTTGGGTTTTTTGAAACAAAGTCTTCTGGTCTTGAAAATTAAGGCCTTCTGCCTTTACCTGTCAAGTGCTGCATGTCAAACTTCCAGTTCAGTTATCTTAGCATTTCTATTAAGTATAAACCTTTTTAATACATTGGGAATTTTAAACTGGGATGGGGGAAATGTGTTTCTTCTACAACAGAATCTGTTTGCACTGGCTGGTGATGAGGAAGCAGAGGTGCGGAAAAACGTGTGCCGGGCGCTTGTGATGCTGCTTGAAGTCCGGATGGATCGCCTCCTTCCTCATATGCATAACATAGTTGAGGTAACTGAAGCAGCATATTTGAACAAAATATATAATATAAAGATACAGTTTCCTGATTTTTCTATAATACCTTTGAGTGGAGGGACATAAATATGTTTGTTTTTAAATTATAAATCCTCTTGGTTTTTTTTTTTTTGTTTGTTTGTTTTGTTTTGTTTTGTTTTGTTTTGTTTCTTTTGTGAAATTTAAGATATTATTGGATGAGTTACTTAAACATACAAGGTTTTAATCATTGTAACTAAGAAATTCTCATTAAACATGGTATACCACGTTATGGGTATTTTGGGGATATTAGGTGACATTCAGGGGTTGTTGGAAATAGAATTAAAAATTGAGTTTGCTTTCTTCCCATTATCAATAAAATTGTACTGATTTTGTGACTTACAGAAAGTATGAGTTTTCTAAGCAAGAAAGCCATTGACTGGGCAGTGGTGGAACAGTTGCCTTTAATCCCAGCACTGGGGAGGCAGAGGCAGGCCAGCCTGATGTGCAGAGCGAGTTCTGTGATAGCCAGGGCTACACAGAGAAACCCTGGGTGGAAAAACCAGAAGGAGGAGGAAGAGATTGACCCTTAGTTTCATGTACAAACCATGTAGATTTTAAAAGGTCCTCTTTCAGATGTGTGGTTAAAGTAAATGTAGAAAATTTCATCAGTTGCACTATTTAAGGACTGTATAAGATAGATGAAAGGTTTATGTTGTATTCAGTGCCAGTAGAGTCACACTTTTATTTTACATTTCTGAATATAATCCTATTTGTTTATATGGCTTCCAAAGTGCCTGAAGCTGTATGTTTTCTAGAGCCTTACTTGTGCTTCCAGTTTTGTATTGTGTGGTGAGATAAGACCTCTTAGAAATGGAGTTTCAGTGTGTTAGACTCTGTAGAGCTGTCTCAGTGGGTGAGAGTGCTTAATACTCTTGAAGAAGTTGGGGGTCTATCCCTAGCGTTCATGGAGGCTCACAGCTGCTTGTAATTCCAGTTCAAAGAGATCCACTCCCTCTTCTGGCTTCAGTGGGCACTCTATACAAGGTGCTCACACAGATGAGCAGGCACACAAAATATATATTAATATTAAATAAATATTGGCATCCACTTTGTACAGCATCTTCTGTTGTCAGAAGTATAGAAATGGTATCTTTGAGTCTGTTTTGTCTATGAAGTCAACTCTAATAGGTTGAAAAGTTGAGTTTGAAGCTAATCAGAAAGTTAAGCATTGTATCACTTGGTGTAGGTCACACCTAGGGAGCTGACTTTATAGTATTGTGTAGCACTTGATGTCGTGCTGCTCTGAAGCATAATAGTTGACGTGTAGAACAGGCCTGTGACAGGTACCATATGTGGTATGTTTCCATCGAGAAGAGAGGGTGCACTAGAAATGTTTGGACTGACTTTGACTTCCATCCCACGTATACTGGAAAGTCACATGAGTGAATTCAGCTTGGTGTGTTCAGAGATCATGATAAAATAACTTGTTGAAATGACTGATTGTAGTTAAGAAGTGTTGAGAAGTGTTGAAGTGTACTGGTGCACACCTGTAGTCCCAGCACTCAGGAGCCTAGGTGTGAGGCCAGATGAGCTACGGGGTGAGATCCAGGCCAACCTGGGATCTTTGCTGAGACCCTGTCTCCAGAGGACAAAGACAGAAAAGGCTTTTTTTCTAAAGTAAAAAATATTGATTCAACATCGGTTTAAATATGGAAAAAGGTTTGTCTGCAAGAGACAGTTTGTTTTGTTAATTTAAAAAAAAATTTTATTTTAAGGAATGTTATGAAGTTATTTTGTTTAAGTTATATTTGTTTAAGGAATGTATGAAGTTATTTTTGTTTTTCTCTGATTAACATTGACATGTCAGAAAATTCTAACAGTTTCTTAAATACCCCTGCACAGAAGTAGATCAATAATACATACACATAAAAACTTCATTCTTACACAGTGGTTCTTGAGTTGGTCATAGTGGGTCAAGCTTGTAATCCTAGCTCTCAGGGAGGCAGAGGCAGGTAGATCACTTTGAGTTTAAGGCCACCCTGGTCTGCAAAGTGAGTCCAAGACCCTGTCTTGGGAGACGGGGGGAACAACAAAAAACAGTAGTTCTTCAATTCTAGCATGTTTTAGAGGCACGTGGGAGCGTTTAAAAGGAGAGAAGTACACATTGGAAACCATGACTTGCAGTATATAGGCAGATTAGGACTAAAATACCATTTGTTATCAGGGTTAAGCTGATGAACAATATGGATTCTTTTCACAGTACATGCTGCAGAGGACCCAAGACCAAGATGAGAATGTGGCTTTGGAGGCTTGTGAATTCTGGCTGACTTTGGCTGAACAGCCAATATGCAAAGATGTACTTGTAAGGCATCTACCTAAGTAAGTGTTGTGATTATGCTGCTTGTCCTAAGCACACTCATCTTCATAAAGTTTGTCCTCTCACCATAGATGGGGCCTCCAAAAGGGTCACTTTGTTATTGATATGAATAGGTTTTTCAGGATTACCTTTTTAAAAACAACATGAAAATAGTTTGTTCGTGTGTTGGGTGAAGATTCACAAGTGCCAGAATAGGCCTGTGGAGGCCAGAGGACAGCGTGTCCTGAAGCCCTGCCTAGACAGACAGGCAGGCATAATTGCATTGTTTAATTACTCTTGGTCTTTTTTTCTGGAACATTATTAGCTGATCCATGTTTCTTAAAACTAGCCTGTTCATATTCCTCAGTTAATGGGGACAGTGATGTAGCCCCGGATATGCTCAAAGACTATATTGCTACTGTTGTTGTCATTGGGTTAGTTAGTGTATGTAAGGTCGTTAAGATGACTTAAAACTGGGCTGGAGAGGTGGCTGCCCTTCCAAAGGTCCTGAGATGAATTCCCAGCCACCACAGGGTGGCTTTCAACCATCTATAACGTGATCTGGTGCCCTCTTCTGGCCTGCAGGCCTACATGCAGGTATACATAGTAATAGTAAATCTTTAAAAAAAATACTGTTGATCTTTGTTTCATGAATTCTCTCTTAGGTTGATTCCTGTGTTAGTGAATGGCATGAAGTACTCAGATATAGACATTATTCTGCTTAAGGTAAGGAAACTGTTCTCTCACTAGGGAAGATAATCTATATTGATAATACAGCTTTGGATTTGATCAGTAGGATGTTTTGTTTGTTTGTTTTAGGATAGCCCCTATATAAAGGTGCCCTGTTATATTTAATAGGCCACAGATGTTCAAAGATAGAACAAGTATAATGGATTTTCATGGCAATAAGTAATACCTTAATTGATAATGACTGGGTTTTCCTTAATTTACTTCGACCGAAGCTATTTGGAGATTATTTTAGTTTATAGTTTGTAATTTGTTTTATTTAAGTTCATCTTATGCTCTCTGGGGTTTATTTTAAATACACTGATCTGAGTTTGATCTAGGTTACTCTTACAGCACCAACTAAAAGGGCCTAAAAACCTAGCAAGTGTCATATGCTCTATTGTCCCTTCCTCAGGGACCTGTTTACTGCAGAGAGGAGTAGTTCTCACTCAGAAAAAAACACTCCAGCATCCTGTGCATGGCCCATATGATGTTCTGGTTCCTTTACTCGTGTTGGTATTAATAGCTTAAAGTGGAATAGCCACTGAAGGTTTCTGTCTAAAATAACAGGGTGATGTTGAAGAAGACGAAACAATTCCTGATAGTGAACAGGATATAAGGCCGCGATTTCATCGCTCCAGGACAGTGGCTCAGCAGCATGAAGAGGATGGAATTGAAGAGGAAGATGATGATGATGATGAAATTGATGATGATGATACAATTTCTGACTGGAATCTGAGTAAGTCAGATGGGTGTAAAGCACGGTTGCTTACTTGGAGTAATTCTGTTGTTGGCATGTGATCTAGTTCTTAGGAAGCTGAAGGGGAGGTTCAAAAGTTTGATTTCAGCCTGAACTATGTAGCAAAGGCCCTTTGTCAAGAAAAAAAAAAAAGTAATACAATGAGTTTTATTTGTAAATCTGTCCAGCTGTCACCATAATTATAAATGTGGGATATTTTTGTTACTTCCATCCCCACTAGTTATCAATCTCTATGTCTCTCTAAGGATTTGCTGCTTATAAACAATCCAATCTGACTAGGTTTTACTTAGCATGATGTTTTAGGGCTCACGCATGTTATAGCATGTATCCATAGTTCTTTCCTGTATTATATTTTCCCTTTCGTTAGTTGATAGCTATTGGCATTGTGTTTTCCGTTTTGGTGTGGGGAGTAACGATCCATGAAAACTGATGTGCAGGTGTGGACATGTTTTCTGGTCTGTTGGCAAATGTATCCAGCAAGGTTGCTGGGTTGTGATACTGTAACCACCAGCGTGTTTGCCATAGTGGCTGCACTATTGTACTTTCCCACTACCAGCATCAAAGTGTTCATGTGTCTTGTCCTGTTGCCACTGTAATGAATATGAGTAGGAATGTTTGGTTTTTATTTCTCTTAAAGCATGCTCTTGTAACACTAATCATCAAATTCGTCTTATTTTTTGGATTTCTCTTCCGTACTCAAGGTCCCCAGGCTACTAAGTAACCCTGGGTAGTCTGGATCTCACTCTCTAGAACAGGCTGACCTCAAAATTGTGTCAATCCATCTGCCTCTGCTTCCTGGTGTAAATATTGTGGGCATGCACCATTACCACACCCTACACACCATTAAATTCTTTAAAAGGCTTTTTCTCTTTTCCCAACAAGTTTTTGTATGTTTGATATAATTGGTGTTAAGAATAGGGAGGTTCTTCATTTTGTATATTCAAAACTTTAAAAAACATATTTTTAAAGTCTGTTGGCTTTTTCCCCCCTATCCTCAACCCCAAACCTGGAAACTCATGACTTGTGGAACTGGCATTCAAACTCACATTTCTTTTGTTTGTTTGTTTTGTTTTTGAGACAGGCTTTCTCTGTGTGTAGTTAGTTTTGACTGTCCTGGAACTTAGTCAGTAGACCAGGCTGTCCTGGAACTCAAAGTGATTCTCCTTTGCCTCCTGAGTGCTGAGATTAAAAGTGTAAGCCACCACTGCCCGGCTCTTTTTGTTGTTGTTACTTGATGTGGGTGGTTTGCCTGTGTATATATGTCTCTACACCAAGTGACTGGTGCCAGAGGAGACCAGAAGGCATCAGATCCCCTGAAACTGCAATCAGATGGTTGTGAGCTATCATGTGAGTACTGGGAATTGAACCCTAGTCCTCTGCAGGAGCAGCATTCTTACCTGTTGAGCCATCTCTCCAGCCAGGCAACCCACACTCTTACTGAAGAGTAGGAGCTTGTTTGTTTACCTGGCTTGGACTGAAGCCTTGGAAATCACCCTGGAGGCTGACATCACATTTCCTCTCCAGCCATAGACTAGACAGTGGGCATATCTTCGAAAAGTGGTTCTGATTTCATGAAGTAATTGGGTCTACATGTCAACATGCTACTAAACTCAGCTTAGGATACCAGTGTGCCATTTATTTCCTTGCTTAAAAGATGCCCTTAGCAGTAGTGTGGTTCCCACATGACAAGAACCTCAGCAAATGGCTCTCCTGTTCTGTTTTTGCTTGCTAGCTGGATTTTAAAACCCTGCTGCTCTAATTCAGGCTTTCCCATTACTGAAAATTTGGGATCACATAATTTCATTCTTGTGAGGATTGCCCTACACATGATAATATGCTGACACTGTACATACAAGTGATGACAATCAGCATACATTATTAGATCCCCCTGCAAAAAAGCACCCTGGTAAGGACTCATGCCTTATTATTTTCACAGCGGTGGTGTTTTATGATGTGTGTCATCCTGGAACACATAATTCCTATTCTGCCTGTTCAGTTTCTTACATCTAACTTTTATAATTTAAAATATCTAATTTGCTATGCACTATGCCAAAAGCTTGATGTACATGTTACATTTAGTCATTTCAGCAACTCTAAGTGCGTAAGGGGATTACTGAAGGTTAGCATAGATGGTACTAACAGCAAGTTTCATTCAACAAGTGCTTGTACTCCATTTATCTTTATACCCTGGCCAGAAGCTCTTTGCATGGAAAATCCTATTGAGGCTTTTAGGAATAAAGCCAGATTTTTAAAATTGACCTCAGATTTTATGTACTCTACTGTTCTTCTGTTTATCTTCAGCACATCGAAATTTTCTTTTGTTGTCTGTCTATGTGCTGGTCAGTTGTACAAATCTACCATGTGTATAATAATTATAGACCTAATGGATGAAGTGATTTTTGTAGGCAATGTGACAGCTTTTACTGTTGTATAAAAATATGGGCTTTCTATGCCCATCTTAGCCCCTGAATAATGGCACGGAGACCTATTAATGTTATAAGAGCTTGAGGCACTATAGCTGGGCAAATACTGAGCTGTTCTAACCCACCTATACTGGCTTGGCCTACTTTTCAGCCACATAGCGTGTTGCCTGCCATCTCACCCTGGCTGCTCATTCTGCATCCGTGTCCTTAAGAAGACTCCTCTCTCTAGTTCCCACGTGAGACCTCCTGCCTGGGATTGGAAGTCCCAGCTTATTTCTCATGCCCACTATTGGCTGTTCAGCTCTTTATTAACCAATCTATGATAAGGCCAAAATCCAGACTGCAATAAGATCTCTGGGTACAGAAATCAGCATTTGAAAACGCAGTGTACAAAAACATTCTCTAACAGTTGTACAAAATTTTTGCCATTGACTAAAGTTTGTAAGTAGCTGTTTGCTATCCCTACTTCACAGTGGAAAAAATTTATACTTCTTATCTTTGTTATATTAGTGAAATCTTAGTACCATAGTTAATTCTCTTGTAAAGAATTGTTCTAGTGTATTTTATATGATAATGACTTTTGTTCCAGTTTACTTGGTTAATGTCCAAAAAAGAAATGATATACTTGATTCTAAATTACCTGCTACTAAAAATGTTAAGTGGAACTAAGTTTAGGTGTTTTGTTTGTTTGAGACAGGGTCTTATATGACCTTCACTGGTCTGGAACCCAGTGTCAGGCAGGCTGGGTTTGAGAGATCTTCCCCCTGAGTGCTGGGATTAAAAACATGTGCCACTAACAGGCCTATCCCCGAGTGAAACTCAGTTTTCAGTGTGACCTTTTGTCTGTTTGCTTAAAGTGAGCACATTTTTAACAATAGTGACCACAGAATTTTAACAATAATCATGGCCTTCTGGAAACATAGGGTTAAGTAGAACATTTTTTATTTTTCCACAAAGAAGAATTCTGTGATCAAGTACAGAATAATGTATCTTAATAAATTCGCTAACTCTGTCACAAAACTTATTTCCTCAGGAAAATGTTCCGCTGCTGCTCTCGATGTTCTGGCAAACGTTTATCGTGATGAGCTCTTGCCACACATTTTGCCACTTTTGAAAGAATTGCTTTTCCATCATGAATGGGTTGTTAAAGAATCAGGCATCTTGGTTTTAGGAGCAATTGCAGAAGGTAAGGCCAGCTTAAATTACGAAGCTCTTGATAGATTCTAACAAGGCTAGGTGCTATAAGAAATTGTTAACCAAAGAAGCTGAAACTTGGCCCTGAATTCATATACTACCTAACTCTGCTTGCAATGCCAGTGTGTATGTGGTAGACAAGACTATGATCCACACCAATTCAAAGAGATGACTGAATTCAGAAGCTTCTGCTAGTTACCATGCTCTCCTTATAAACAATCACGGTTTACTTCTGATCCCAGCCAGCTATGCCAGCCATATGATCTACGGGTGTTTTTGTTACAGTAAGTGAAACTGAAAGAAATCTAAGGGCTGTTGCTCAAGAAATAGCTTTATTCCTCAAGTAAATCTGGGAACTTGATAAGAGTGTCATCATAAACTATAAAGGATTTTTTTTTTGTCCTGTCTTCACTGTAAATATCTATCTCAAAACATTTTGTAGTTGCTTTTAAAACAATTTTTATAACAGAAAAGAGAATGTAATTTTAACCTCCTGTAAGATACCTAAGAACGATTAGTTCTGATTTGTTAACATTTTTTTTTTTTTTTGGTTTGTTTGATTTTTTTGTTTGTTTTAAGACAGGGTTTCTCTGTGTGGCCTTGTCTGTCCTGTACTTTCTTTGTAGACTAGGCTGAGCTTGAACTCACAGCTGTCCTCCCTCTGCCTCCCAGAGTGCTGGGATTGAAGGCATGCACCACCAAGCCTGTCTCTGATTTGTTATTTTAAAATAATTTGGTATCAAGTTTTCTGTTCCTAGCACTGGAAATGTTTTTTATATACTAAATGTTTTTATGTATGCTTGTGTTGGTTCTATACATGGTTGGGTTTAACACCTTTTGAAAGATTGCTGTTCTTTCCTAGGTTGCATGCAGGGCATGATTCCATACCTGCCAGAGCTCATTCCTCACCTTATTCAGTGCCTCTCTGATAAAAAGGCTCTTGTGCGTTCTATCACCTGCTGGACTCTTAGCCGCTATGCACACTGGGTAGTCAGCCAACCACCAGATACATACCTGAAGCCATTAATGACAGAATTGCTGAAGCGTATCCTGGATAGCAACAAGAGAGTACAAGAAGCCGCTTGCAGGTGGGACAGGTTCATGACAGTGTCTGTTGTGAAAGTGAGAGCCTGGTTTTGAACCAGTAGTGGAATGTTACGGTTATGATGGGAAATTTAGTTTTGATTGGTTAAGTTATAATAGGACTGATTTGTAGCTCTGGGGTGTTTTCACATTACCATACTTTACGTTTGGCAAGGGAATAGTTTATGTAATGGTTTTGTTAGACAAAATGTGACTTTTAGCCAGAAGTATAAGCCTTTGCTTTCCTCCTCGTTCTGTCAACTAAAGTATTACAAAAGAATAACCAAATTGTGGATACTTCTTCAGTCTGCCGTTCCATTGCCATCACTTAAAGATAGAATGTCCTGCTGACTTTTGATGCACCCACTGTGGTGCTGTGTGCTTGATGACTGTGTCCCAGTAGCTGTGCTGTGGGATTTGGGGGCACTCTTCTCACATCAAAAATTACATGGTTTTATTACTACTACTTTCTGTTTCCTCAAGCAAGGGGGCCTGCCATTACATTTATAATTCTTTAAATTACTTTTATCATTGACCTGTTTGTGGTTTAGGAGTCAAATACCAGATACTCATACATGCCAGGCAAGTGCTCGGCCATCTAGCTGCCCTCCCAGCTCACCATTGACTTCGTATTCCTGGACTTCCCTCGTAGGCTAGGCTGGCTTAGCACATGCCTTCCCAGTTATGGAATTAGAATCAGTCACTAATGCACCTGGTTTTTGTTTTAAACTCTGTGATCTAGAGTTTACACTTCAGATTGCTGCATTCCCAGCGAGTCCATAAATAGTAAGCATCAAATAAACTTGTTGAGTAAATACAAGGGCCAGAGCCTTAATAGCTTTAGGTCTCACCACTGTATCGCATTAAGAAAGGAAGAGCCAGGTAGTGAGGTTACACACTTTTGCAAATGGGTCTCTTGAGTTCAGGGCCAGCCTGGTCTATGGAGCAAGTTCCAGGAGAGCCAGGGCTATACATAAAAATCCTGTTTTAAAAAAAAAAAAAGAAAGAAGGAAGGAAAAGCGGGCCAGGATGTGATTCCATTTGTAGAGAGTATAAAACAAAAACCAGGTGCATTAGTGGCTGTTTGTAATTCCACAACTGGGAAGGCATGTGCCAAGCCAGCCTACCAGTCCAGGAATACGCAGTCAATGGTGAGCTGGGAGGGCAGCTAGATGGCCGAGCACTTGCCTGGCATGTATGAGTATCTGGTATTTGACTCCTAAACCACAAATGGGTCACTGTAATATGTATAAAGTCTTGGCTTTCATCCTCAGAATCATGTGAACTAGACATGGTGACATATGCCTGTCATGTCAAGACTCAAGGTGAGGATCAGCCCAGGTCATTCTGGGCTTCCTAGCACATTTGAGGCTAGTCTAGACTACCAGTTGTGACCTAACGTCTTTCTCTTTCTCCGAGTTCAAGGCCAGACTGGCTACAAAGTGTAAGTGTGTTCCTGGCCAACCAGAGCTACATAATGAGACACTGTCTTCAAGTTTTTAAAAAGGGTGAGGGCACACTGGAGAGATGGCTCAGCGCTGAACAACGCTAAACTACTTTTGTAGAGGGCCTGGGTTCAATTCTCACCATCATCTGCAACTCCATTTTAGGAAATTAGATGTTTGTTATAGCCTTTGAGGGCTCCTGCACGCATGTGGTGCCACATACACAGACTCAGGCAAAAAATAAATAATTTTTAAGAGAAATGAAAAATATTTCAAACCAAAGTAAGCATATTGAATGAGGCATTGAGAGGTACGCATGATGTGAAGTCTAATCTTCTGTGAACAGGAAACTTCATTTCCTCTGTGTTTCTTTTCATTCTAGTGCCTTCGCTACTTTAGAAGAGGAGGCTTGTACAGAGCTCGTCCCGTACCTTGCTTACATACTCGATACCCTCGTCTTCGCCTTCAGTAAATACCAGCATAAGAACCTGCTCATTCTGTACGATGCCATAGGGACACTAGCAGATTCAGTGGGACATCATTTAAACAAGCCAGTAAGGACCTGAGAATGGCTGCTCTGGGGACATTAGAACAAGCTGCAGCAAGTACATAGTGTATATTTCAAAGTAAAAAGATTGATAAGTGTGAACAGTTAGGTTTTGTGCCTTTGAGAATTATGAAAGGTCTGCTGTTGAAATAAGCTTATGGTTAGTGTGGAAACTAGTAAATGCACTTTAAAGTGCAGGGAGGAAAGGGGATAAAAAAGATTTTATACTCTGGATTTCCACATTTACTTAGTTCCACATAAGCACCATTTTATTAACACTGGCTTCAAAGCTTCTCCATCTTGACACCACTTTCTCTTCAGCATGTACCAGGCATTCTGAGTCTACTGTGTAAAAAGTTAAGAGTAGGAATGATAGATAGAGAATGATAACGAGCAGTGCAGTCAGTGTCTTGCCTGTGGTGGTGTGGCATATGAAGTGGGGGTTTGAAGATAATTTTTTAAAAATTTTAACATAACTTAAATGTCTCTGCTAAAACAATTTGATAAGATGTGGTCACTGTAGGAAGAGCCTTAATAAACTCACGTTTTGTTTTGTTTTTGTGTTTTGTTTTTTTTTTTAATTACACTCAAAATTGGAGCAAGTAGCTTTGGTTTGCTTTGGTGTTGGCTGGTTTGGTTAATTGAGGAGTAGGTAGTGATTTATTGCCTGTGTGTTTTGTTTAATTATTGTAAATGTATTGTAAGTCATTAATGTTATAGGCCACAGCCAGCCCTTCTCACTCCCAAAGTCACTTACGAATAAAACCTGTGATTTAACAAATTATGGATTATGCTGGGTTTGGTAACATAGACTTTTAATCCCAGCTCTTGGGAAGCAGAGGCAAGTGGATCTCTGACTTGGTGCCAGCTTTGACTACATAGTGAATTTCACGTCTGCCAGGCTGTATAGTGAGACTGTCTGAAAAATGAGGGGGGGAAAAGGGTGATGGGGAGAAAACCCAAGTAGTGGATTTTAATGGAATAAGGTACTTTTGATCAGGGTCATAGAAATTAAAAAGTAGAGATAAAGTAGAAAAACTTAAAAGTTTAAAAGAGAACTGTAAAGTGAAGAATGATTCTTAAAACACTTAAAAATTTAGCACAGTTGTTCCAAATGGGTTTTAGTTTTTATCGAATCAAATGTACTTGTTTGCAGATGATAGTGAAGCATTTTGTTTTCATTACTGTAAACAGGAATATATTCAGATGCTAATGCCTCCTCTGATCCAGAAATGGAACATGTTAAAGGATGAAGACAAAGATCTTTTCCCTTTACTTGAGGTATGCTAAGCTGTTGATGTGCGGTTATTCCATCACAGACATGTTCTAAACCAAAATGTGTATATGTGATAAAATGTCAACTAGGGGTGGCCGTCATGAGTCCCTCCTCCATCCATTTTAGAATATTGACCTGCTTGATCTTGTTCCATTGTGAGTTCATGAGTGAAATGGCCTGGTCATATCCAGAAGATAGCGTTTTAGGGCACTCTTCCTCCAGCTTCTCTGACCAAGGTTGGAGGCGTCAGTAATATCCTGCTCTTAAGTATAAACATTGAGAAGGTAGTTTTACAACACGTCCACCTAGCAAAACAGCTTCCCTCCAGTTGGTGGCCTCCAGGGCCAAGCACCCCTTGACTAAATTACAAAGTGGTTGTTTCCTCCAGGACGGTCATGCCACTGCTGTACCATAGGCTCAGTAGTCTGCTGGCAGACTTGAGTTCCTCACACCAGAATCTGTTCTCATGCTCGAGTGTATGCCGTGTTTGTATATAGCCTACAATATCCTGTGCATCTTCTTGATAATTCAAATCACATCTAGCTGACGTATACTACCTGATACAATAGAAGTTTACTTTTGTTCTGATTGACAAATTGACTATGACTGAGGTTGAAGAAGATAAACCCTCCACAGCAGCATCAGAACAGATGCATAAATGACTTTTTTGCTTAGTTTAAAGCGCTTATGTTCTCTATCATCTAAAAACTTAGTGTGTATCTTGATTCTTTCTAGTGCCTCTCATCTGTTGCCACAGCCTTGCAGTCTGGCTTCCTTCCATATTGTGAACCTGTGTATCAGCGTTGTGTAAACCTAGTACAGAAGACTCTAGCACAAGCCATGGTATGTTGTGTTTTTGTTTTTTGTTTGTTTTTTAATATTTTCTCCTTGCTGACCATCAAACTCTTTTTAGTGATACATGTAATGTGTACATGCTTCTTCAGTATGTAACAACAAAACTGTGTGTTTATCTTCAGCTGAACAATGCTCAACCAGAACAATATGAAGCTCCAGATAAAGATTTTATGATTGTGGCTCTTGACTTACTCAGTGGCCTGGCTGAAGGACTGGGAGGCAACATCGAACAGCTTGTAGCCCGAAGTAACATCCTAACACTAATGTATCAATGTATGCAGGTAAGACTTATAAGAGTGAGTGACTTGGAACCTGCTTCTTTGTGTTACAAGAAGTTAATTTCTTATTTCTTGTAGGATAAAATGCCTGAAGTTCGGCAGAGTTCTTTTGCGTTACTAGGTGATCTGACTAAAGCTTGCTTTCAGCATGTCAAGCCTTGTATAGGTATGAATGTTTTCTGCTTTGGGTGTTGGGTATCATACCTGTCCTAATTCTTTATTTTATTAAAAGCAAAGTGTACATTTTACTAAAACAGGCTGGATTGGAGAAATTATGTCATTTCCTTTAACATCATTGAACACTGTATCTGGGGATGTTTGAATAATACCAGTTTAGAGAATGTTGGGGGTTGTGATTTTTTTTTTTTGATTTTATTTTATATGCATTAATGTGAAGGTGTCAGATCTCTTGGAATTGGCAGTATAGACAGTTGTGAGCTGCCATGTGGGTGCTGGGAATTGAACCCAGGAAGAGCAGACAGTACTCTTAACCACTGAGCTATCTTTCCAGCTCCATGATTGTTTTATTTATGTAATATTAATTTATAACAACCCGGATAGCATTTTATTTGACAGTTCTTCTTACATAGCTCTGACTGGCCTAGAGTTTGCAGAGATAGACCTGCCTCTGCTTTCCAGGGCTGGAGGAAGGCGTAAGCCGCCACACCCAGTAGGAGTGTACTTCTGAGTCATTATCATTTCTGTGTTGAAAGTGATAGGAGCTATATATGGTATGTTACGTTTTTGGTATGAGAATCTGGTCATACAGATACGTAACAAACCTTTTTTTGTCAAGACACATTAAGCCATGTTTTTCATATGTTGCTACTATAGACACAAAGACAATGGGTATTTTTAAACCCAGAATTTCAAGACTTACCTCTAAATTTCTTTCTTGTAATAGTTTTTCACTGCTCAAAGGATCTAAGGTTTTGTCGTGAGTTTACGGCTGTTTTGAGTGTACTGATCTACATCTGGGGTCACGCACTGTTTCTCAGTATTCACTGTAATTAGCACGTAGATTAGACACTTAGCCCCAGTTTGATCCCAGACTGCAGAGTGGATGTGTGGAGCTCTTAAAGGTTTTTTCTATTTCTGTTCATGTGTGTATGCCAGCGTGCATTCTGCGCACTGTATGTGTACACATATCCAGAGAGGCCAGAGCGCAATAGTTAAAAACCGTGTAAGCCACCTCATTTGGCTACTGGGAGCTGAATCTTAGTCCCCTGGGAGAGTAGCAAGTGCTTTTTAACTACTGTGAGCTATCTCTCTGGCCCTGGTTTTGTATATTTCAGAAGATATTTGGAGATTGGTTGTTCCTGTTTTTGGTAATGTTACCAAGCATGATGGTTATAAGGTAGATAATAGTTCTCCGCCTGGATCAGGTTTGCTCTCTAGGGAATGTTTACAGTATCTAGAAACATTTGGTTTAACATAGGTTAGTGTTCTGTTCTTCACAGGTGTAGATACATACATTCAGATAAAACACCCCAACACACATAAGATGAAAATAAATGTAATAGGGAGCTAATACCTTAGGCCTCGGGAACATTCAGTAGCCAGTTACCTCTTGCAATTTTAAGAAAAGTATTGTCAGCTCCTTTATAAATACTTCTTTGCATATTTTGTCAGTTTCAGATTTGATACCATAATGCTTGTTTTATGATGAAAAAGTAAGAAATCTGCTGTTGACAAGTTTACTACATAGCTTTATTTTATCACTTTGTTTTTGTTTTTATATTTCCTAGCTGATTTCATGCCAATATTGGGAACCAATCTAAATCCAGAGTTTATTTCAGTCTGCAACAATGCCACCTGGGCGATTGGGGAAATATCAATTCAAATGGGTAAGATTATTTTCCTTTGAACTGTATGCATTTATATTATTTTATCTTTTTCTGTTTTTTAAGATTCTGAGAATAGAGGGAGGAGGGGAGGAAGACTAACTTGTGTCACAGTTATAAGGGAAGCAGAATGTTTTGTAATAGTGTTTTGACACTGTTTTCTTCTTGTTCTCTCTTCCTATGATATGACCTAGGTATAGAGATGCAGCCTTATATTCCTATGGTGTTACACCAGCTTGTAGAGATCATTAACAGACCCAACACACCAAAGACGCTGTTAGAGAACACAGGTACCATATGACTGAAACGTTGTGGTGAAGGGAAAATGATTTACTTCTTAACTTCAAGTCAGGATGTGTAGAGAAAGCAAAGCAAAGCTAGCTTTAAAAATTCAGCTGCAATGTAGTACAATGTATTTGAACTCTTGATTATAGTGTCTTAGTTTAGCTATGTGCCATAGCCAGTTTACAGAAATATTGGAACAACAGTTTTCTATGAATTTCAAGCTTAGTACTCTAAAACGTGTTCTTGTTAAGATATAACAAAAATAAGAAATAACAAATAAAAATTCATATGAATTTTGTGTTTTAAATTTAGAAAGTAACTGCGAAAAGTAATGACTTCAAATATATATTTATATGAGGCCAAAAATAGATTCATTGGCCAAAACTGTCATGTATTTTGTATAGCATCCTAAAATCTTTTTAAATCGGGAACTTAAGTGCAGTTCCCGGTGGGGGTTTTATCCAGAGGCTTGTTTCTCTTCTGCATTTACAGAGAGCATGCTGGTGCTAAAGATGCCTTCCATACAATAGCACACATAGGGTGATAATGTCCTTTTCCTTCCACCTTTTCCAGCTGTTGCTAATTAATATTTAAGTTTCGTTTTTGTTCAGGCACATCTCTTTCTTTATATGTTTATAGTCAATGTGAGTTCTACCATTGTAACCAGATAAAGATTAAAATGAGGTTTTCTAAATATAAAAGTTCAGACATTTTAATTCAGTATTTTTAAATTACACAGTTTTTCCTCAAGTAACTAAAGTTTATAATGTTTATTGGTATGGAAGGAAATCTTGTAATTATGAAACGTATTGGGCTGATTATCTGTATGGGTACTGTTTAGTTTAAAGTAAATTAGACTTTCTTTTTCAAAAGTGTAACCATATGTGTTGAGGATGTTTTTGAAATCTTGGCAGATTTTTGTCTTCCTAGAATGCAGTACCTATATATGACATTCAGAATGGAGATACTTGGCTATTATAAAAATATTGTTGAACCTAAAGAAAAGTTTTTATTTATCTTTAAATGTGAATGCATAACTGCAAATAAATGTTGAGTGTAATGTATACTGAAGTTTCTTGTGGGATATCAGCTGGTGGATATCTTATACTTCCTTTAACAAATTGGCTTTATCAGATTGTACTCTTGGCATGATCAAACTTCAGTAATAATAAAATGGTTGATAATGCCGTACAAGTTGATGGGTTTGCCACAAGTGGCTACATAAATAATTGACTTCTTCATTCCTTACTCAAAAGAATGGGATTTAAACTATTAAAATCACCATACATATTTAGCAACTTAATTACCATATCCTCACTATTTCCTGAGGTCAATTCCTTAGTGTGTTGTATTTGCTTTTTTCCAACTAGTATATCCTACACTGAACTTTCTCAATGGACCATCATCTGCTTTCTCGCATGTTTCATTGGATTGTTCATACTTGCCTGTTTAATGAGAATGTTGCATAGTTTGTGTCTTTTGAACATAGGTTTTCTTTCTCTTGCTTCATATGAATCTGCTGAATTTTAGTATTATCTGTGTAGTTTGCTTCAAGTAATCCTTAAACATTTTTATTTACCCCCAAACCCACCCTTTTTTTATAAAAGGTTAACCTGTAAGTTTTTGAGAGAACACCATTAAAGCACCTCATGGTTTGTTTTCTGTCTGTATTTTTACCCGTTGTGTATAAGTGTATTTATATGTTTGCACCTTTGAATTGCAAGATGCAGTTCTGAGTTGCAGCTGTTTCAGCTCTTTGTACATTTCAGGAATTCCTGAATTTTAATGGAGAATGTTTGCCTACCTCAAAATTTTTTCTTAATCAAATAATGTACTATGCTCTTAACTATTTTGTGTAGCAAGGATTATTTTTTTCTATAGTCCATACCGCCTGTCATTACAGTGGACTATCTAAATTTCCTTTACTTGAATTTTATCTCATATATGGTTAGAAACTAGTGTGCTGTTACCTGAGTTATCAGAGATTTGTCAAAATGGAATTTGATAAACTGGAGCAGTTTTTCAGTCTTTGCCTTCAGTGGACACCATGATGCTTACTTGACTGACAAATGATTTTTTGATACAAACAACAAAGTCCCACTAGTTTGAGAAAAATTAACTTAAAAACTAGCAAATTTAAGTTAATATCCCTCGGTGATTTTTAAAGGTTTTAATTACTTACAAAAAGTTGAAAATTTGAATTAATACAGCTACAGAGATTGATGTTTAAATAAACTATTCACAAACAGTTGCTGGCGTTTTGAGTGGCTGTGAAAGAAGATACTGTAAATCCACTCACTCTAAACCCTCATCTTTTACCAGTACTTGGCACTTGATGGTTTTTGGTGTTCTCTCAATGTTTAGTTACTTTAATCCCTTTTGTTTTCCTTTTCCAAGAGTATGCCATGTATGTTGCTGCCCCTTCCATGAGGGGGTGGTAATAAGCAGCACTGGTGAGATCTTATGTTTATTATCATACACAGATTCTGTTGGTTTCTGTTTCTGAGTTATTTGTTGTTTTCTTTATTTTTCTCCTTCCCCCTCATTTGCTCATGTCTTGGTTGGCGTTTGGTGGTGTATAACCGTGATTGCGTTACCTTAGCAATAACAATTGGTCGTCTTGGTTACGTTTGTCCTCAAGAGGTGGCCCCCATGCTACAGCAGTTTATAAGACCCTGGTGTGTATTATTCAATCTTTTTTTTTAATTCATTTTTCTTCACTCTTTCTTTCTCTATCTCACTTTAGATATATTTTCAGTTGGTTACAAAAATCACAGTCCTTAATCATTGCCAACCATGTGACTAATCTTGTCCTATCAGGTTTGTGAGGTTTTCAGTAGCATCGTCATGTACATTTATTTTATGTTGTGGCTAACGACTAACTGATGCATGGGATAAGATTGTCACATGCTTGCTGTGTTTAAAAGCTTGATTATACATAAAAGCATTTAAATATCCACCAGAAAAATTAAGATGCATGCAAATTTTTATAAATTTAGGTTCTTGCATTACATTTCTTTTTTAGAATTAATTTGGAAACGTGGATTGCATTAAATACATGTTTAAATTTGTTATGTATAAAATCTTATTTGCTTGTTAATGTCAGAGTTAAACATCTACACCATAAGTGTACAGTAATAGTTTATATTGTGACAGTATAGCCTGTGTTCTGCTTCTTTCAATTGATAATCTTTCAACTGAAATCATTTTTAGTAGTGTTTAATGGAATACAAGTTAGAAAAGAATTTTTAAAATTAATTTGCTAATATACTCTGGCTCAGGCTAATTAATAGTTTAAGTAAGAAAGAGCAGTTGTCTATTTTTATAGATTCAGTATATTAAGACAATGTGAATTTCACTGTTAACACTTGAAGATGAGATGGGTCAGACTACAGAAATATGAGAAACAAAGTCAAGCTTTCTAAAAATGTAGTATAACCATTATCTCTATTGTGGTGCCTATTCCATTAAATACTGTCTATTAGCAATGTGTTGAATCTGCTTTTTACTTTAAATACTAAACTCAGTTCTGTAATTCAATAGGTGTACCTCTCTGAGAAACATAAGAGACAATGAAGAAAAAGATTCAGCATTCCGTGGGATTTGTACCATGATCAGTGTGAATCCCAGTGGCGTAATCCAAGTAAGGTGTTCACAGGACTTTGTTTTCCGTGTTCCGTGTACACGCACACATGGGAAGGTCAGGGGACATCCTATAGTTCCCACCTTCTGACAAGGGGTTTCTAGGGACTGCTGGCTGGCTGGCTGAGGTCTTAATTTCTCAAGTCTTACTTCATTAAGTAAGATAGTAATAGCAGATTGGGAGAGGAAAGTTATGTTGATGTCTTCTGCTGGTTCAGGCCTTCCACTTACATTTAGACCCCATTTATTTATTTTGTACATGCTTTCTATCCATGCATATCACTTTACTGAGTTTGAACTTAAAAATCTCAAATAAAATAGAATATTGAGTTATTCCTTGGAATTGTTTTAAAAGCTTATCTATTCATTCTATATTTTATTTCCTAAATGCATATTGTCTTTAAACATTTTTATAATTATAGTATAGTTACTATTTTTAATGTGTATGAATGTTTTGCCTGCATTTATGTCTGTGTACCTTGTTTGTGCCTGCTATCCTTATAGGTCACAAGTGGGCGTCAGATCCTCTGGAACTAGAGTTACATCTGGTTCTGAGCTGCCATTGGCTAGAATCAAGCCTAGGTCCTCTGGGAGAGCAGCCAGTGCTCTCTTAAGTGCTGAGCCGTCTCTTTAGCCTCTCTAGACAGTTAATTATTTAGTGCCAGGTTTTATATATGGCAGTTTGATCAATCATTCCAACTGCCAGTTTGCCAGCTATAAACACAGAAGAAACCATTGAATTCTACACTACATGCTCAAAATACAAAGCATCTGTATGGAACCCTAAATTAAATACTCAGCATTCATTTGTTTGGTTGATTGGTTGGGGTTTTGGTTAATTAAAGAGCAACTATGTTCTTACTTAACCCTAAGCCATCTCTCAAGACTCTGGTTGGCTCCTTTGATATAGGTCTCACTAGGAGTGGTCTGTGGTGCTGAGATCTGAATTGAGGTCCTTTGCAAAGGTGGCTAGTGCTCACAGCTGCTGGGCCATCTCTAGCCCTGCATTTAAAGTCTTACCATCGGGACATGAGGAGAGAGCTTCATACAGAGGGCAGTTTTTGTTGTTAAGATCTCAAGATGGTTTTTACATTTAGTCCCCTTCCTTGGTTTCAGACTAGTCACATGTAGTTTAAATTGGGGTGATTTCAGGTTGTTTACATCCAGTCAGAACTCTGTTATTATTGACTTTGTCTGGTACTTTAGAGCATTTCTAATGTTAAATATTTTCCAGACTTTGTTTGCTTTTGCATTTCTTCCGTCTTTTTGTAGTGTGGAATACAGTAGAGCAGTAAGTTCTGATGTCATATAAATTAGACAGACTCTGAAGATTGCTTATGTTTTACTGAATGTTGTAAATATAGTAGCAACCTAAAGTGCCTCTTTGTTGTTACAGGATTTTATATTTTTTTGTGATGCTGTTGCATCGTGGATTAACCCAAAAGATGATCTCAGAGACATGTTCTGTAAGGTAAGCATTTATGATTGTTATATCCGAGGTGAAACACTTGAGTTCCTCTTTATTTAAACTCAGCTTCCTCAGAGTGGTATTGAGTGATTTTGTGACCTAAATTCTTAGCAAAGAACCTGGCCTGATGGAATTGACTCTTGGCAGTATTTTCCCAATTAATAATACTAATTCATGTTGTTACTATTGCAATTGTAAACAATGGCTTGAAGTTCTCAAGATGAATTTGGAATGCCAGTGGAAAATACAAGTGCCCTTCTGAAGAATTGACTTACATTCCTGTTTTGTTAGTACTCCCTTCTGAGTTGTTATTTCTGAACTCAGCTGTACCAGTAAGAACTGCAATGCTATTACTTACTTGAGTTATGTAATATTGAAAATAGTGACTAATAACCATCAGGATCCCAAAACTTGTTTGTTTCTAACTTGAAATAACCAATGTTTTTTTTTTTTTTTTTTTTTTTTTTTTTAAATAGATAGGTTTTGTGCTTATATGGTTTGACTATTTTGCTTTCTCAGTTTGATACCACATTTCTTAAGTACATCATGTTGCTAAGGACATTTCCCAGATTTTAAATTAAAAGTATGAAGGAAGTTTTGGTCAAGTTATAGGGTGTCGAGAACTTACTTAACAAAGTTTGAGAATTAATACTTAGAAATTAATGTCCATAATGTTTGATTTCTAAAGCTGTATAGATCTCAGTCTTTGTCTTTATTGATGAGTTAATAGTTTTTCACTTTTTGCAGATCCTTCATGGATTTAAAAACCAAGTTGGGGATGAAAATTGGAGGCGATTCTCTGACCAGTTTCCTCTTCCCTTAAAAGAGCGTCTTGCAGCTTTTTATGGTGTTTAACTTAGATCACTGAAGCTGCAGTCCCAAAATTAGGGGTAAGTTACAAGTTTTAGGAATTTTTAGAATAAAACACTATTACTACAGGTTCCCCTTCAAATCTTAGATAAATAGAAATCCTGATTGGTACACTACTGTGATTTCTATACATTATTTCATCCTTCGCCTTTCTCTTTTTTCCCCCTACAAGGGCAGTGTTCACAGTGACGGGGCAAAGGTGGCTCTGTTTTGAAGCCTTACTTTATAATCTTATCTGTGACAGGCCAGGAGGCTTTATGTTGTGACCTTTAAGGAAACAAATTTAGAGTTGAAACTGAATTCCGGAAATAGATGATGTTTAACATCCCATTGTTGAGCACCTAGTGTTCTCTCAGTTTTTCATGGAAGGGTCTGTCTTGGTTTGTGGAGGTAGAGGGCTAAGTGCTTTGGTTTTTCTCTGTCTTTTATAGTCTCTGTTCTCAACTTGGGATTAGCAGCTGTGTCTTTTAGATGCAGTGAGTTATGCTGAGGGTTGATCTGTGTGGGTCCTAGTAACAGGACTTGCACACAAGGCTGCCTCACTGTTTGGACCAGTACAGTGAGAGACCTGCCCAGATGCCTGGAAGCCGTAGGACACACTAAGTGTGTAGAAATGTGTACTGTACTAAATTGAAGTATCCTTTACTTTTTAGTTGCTTGCTTAATCTGAACTAGAAAGATTTTCTTATCAAAGTGATCTGATCTAGAAGGGAGTAAAAATAAATTTATAGCCTCAAGAGTTTGTAGGCCCTGTATGCACTTTTCCACTTTAGTTTTGAATCCTCAGCTTCAGCATTTTGAAAAGTGTTTGATTTACTCTCTTAAGTTATAAGAATGCAAAAGAGGGAAATTACTTTACTCTAAAGATTCAGCTTTGAACTAGTAGTCTTCAATAGTTTGTCTTTTGGTTTCATAACCAAGAAGCAGTTAACTAATGATCCTGCTTCTGGGATGAGGTAGGAAATAATGATTTCCTCATTAGATTTAAAAGTTAGTCAGAGCCTTTTATTCTTGCTTCTTCCATGCAGAAGCAGGAAGAAAGGGTTTGGTTGTACTTCACTGGTGGATTAATTAACTCCTGTGAATCCATATGAACATTTACAAGCATCCAAAGTTTGACGTGAGTGGTTAATAGTGTTTTTGTAAAAGGACCACTGTCAGACATTGCTTTAACTAACTCAGTAAACTCACTTGATTTCTTGGGTCTATCTTAACGCTAAATTGTATTAACAATTTAAAAAGTTCACATTAGCCAGGCACAGGGGCTCACACCTGTAATCCCAGCACTCTGATAGGCAGAGGCAGGCGGATCGCTGTGAGCTGGAGGCAAGCCCAGGACAGCCAAGGCTGCACAGAGAAATCCTGTCTCAAAAAACCAAAAAATAAAAATGAATAAAATAAATTAAAGGTTCACATCAGCAACATGAAATCACCTGAAAATATAGGAAATAACCAAATGAAATAGAGTTGGAAGGATAATTAAGAACATCAAGAACATAGCTGTTAAATTTTATTTTTGGACATTACCAAAATTAGAGTTTTTTTTCTTTAAACATTTGATGTTTGTTTAATCTTGTATAAGGAAAATGACTAAGAGAGTAAAGTAACATTGGGAAATGTTTGGTTTGCATTGTGGCCCACTCTGCTAACAGAGGTAAAGCTCAGTAACAGTATGCAAGGCAGGACTCATTATATGAGACACTGCACTGTATGTCCCCAGCGTCGGCTCACTTTTGTATCTGAGCTTAAGCAATTTGTCCAATTTCTTGCCTTTTTAATACCTAAATATAGAAATTTTTTTGACTGGTGTTTTGCTCCATTGGCCCTGAAAGAGAGGCGGATATTAAAGATAAAATTGGTTTTTTGTTTTGTTTTGTTTTGTTTTTCAGGTTCGTCAGTCTTGGAGACTATATGGGAGCCTCTGCACCCAGGGAAAATGTTACCCTTTACAGGGGGGAAGGGTAAACCAGTAGGGAATACAGTACAGTCCCAACCCTACTGGGAGGGGCGGGAGGGAGGTGTTGCCGTCACTGTATTAAGTCGATGTTGGGAAATGTTTTAACATCTGGAGCCTTTGTGGGTGGAAATCTGTCTCCAATTACAACTCTGCACTGGATGTGAAGAAGCAAAGACTATTCAGTCTACTCACACAACAGTACTTTCTGGAATATTATGGGGAAATGTACCAAAACAAGAACCACATAAACAATGCGCGGGGATAAAGAGGAGGAAAATCCCGTGGTCCACAACAAAGGAAACTTAAGAGTGGGAAGCTACAACAGTAAGGAAGCTTTTTTCATTAAAGGTTTTTATATAAATTTTCCCACATTACGGGGGCCTTGTTTTGCATGCTGATAAAGAACTACATAAAACTAACAGTTAAAATCAGCTTGCCTCCCCTAGTAGAAGCAGGTTCTTGGAAGTTACAATTTAAGGTACCCCCAAAAAGTTGGAAATAAAACGAAACAAATTTGAACAATGAAGCACCCTGTGAGATGCCAACGAGTCACTCCTTTTACCTTTGTGGGCTGGGCAGGGAGGGAGGAATAATGGGATCGGGGTATCAAACTAAAGGTGACATCTAATTTTACATTAAAACGTTAGTGGATATAATTTCATGGTTGTACTTCTTAGATTTAATTTCTAGGCCAACACGTTATCTTAAGGTGCAGTTTAAGGTCAGGCATGCGCTCTGGCTCATAGTGATTGAAAGTGATGTAAATTAGTGGGACCGTAGCATGCTTGCATCACATAGAGTGCGGTTGGTATTCATTTACCTATGTTGCGCCAGTTTGGGTTGCAGTTTACCAATTCAATATAGCCCTGCATTTAAAATTCCTTTAAGATTGGTGGATTTTATTTTTATTAAGAATATAGATATATAAAGTACTGTAGTTTACAGCTAGGCCTTGAAATACCTTTTTAGGATCTGTTAGGAATAAGGTTGATATTGTATTGTGTGTAACCTGCACAATGTGGAAAGCTGATATACCTGTGCAAAATCTTTGCCTCTGTGCTGTCAGTGTGGTGTGCTTTCTGCATGGTTATATACTACTAGTGATTTTATCAAATTTCAAATTACATGGTAAAAGATCTGTAAAAGGCTGCATAAATGTTAGTTGGCACATAAACACAATTGTAGAAGTTGGAACATGATTGCTATATTTCAATGTTTATTCCCACTCAACATATTGCCTCTAAGCTTTCCTTTCCTTTGTTTTTTTTTTGTTGTTGTTGTTGTTTTGTTTGTTTTTTGTTGTTGTTCGAAGCATGATCTTAAAGATATGTTTAAGTTAATGGATGTAATGCAGGGTTCCTACACTGTATTGGCGCATGTTGGTGGCCCTTTGTGCCCTAAGTATATGCACATAGGGCATATACAAAGCTACAGAGTGAGAGTTGGTTTGGATCCTCTTCATTTCATTTGTTTGACTTTTCTGTTGTTTTTTTCTCTACTCACATGTATTTCTGTGAATAAATCCTTGTTAAGTTAACCCTTTACTTTTCCTTCCATGTGTATTTTCTTATATACTGTGAATGTGAAGACCCTAACTGGTACACTTGATCTTATGTCCATATGAAAGTGCAAATCTTTATTAATTTGGATTGCCTGAGCAGTGTGTATCCCATGATGATAAAGGAAAATGGAGAGATTTTTCTTTTTAGCTCTGCTGGTCAGAGATGAAGCCACACCTTTCCATTTTTCAATGCTGCATATTTAATCTGCAACAAAATGTTAAGCCATAACAACCTTTTTATATTTTAATTTGTCACCTTTGCATTGCAGAATAAATACCGAATAACCATTTTTATAAGCAGTTGCTCCTCTTTGCATGGTTCTGGTCTCTTAAAGTGTTGACTGATATGGCCATTGCACTGAAGTGTGAGCTGTGTGCGTGTGACTTATCCGTACAGTTTCAAAACATTTTACATGCATGGCAGCATGCAAACAGGTTTTTGTTGTATATGTTTGTTTTAACATGTTCTTTTACCTTTTATTTTGGCTTTGCAAATTTCAGTCTGTGGGGCCTGAAATAAAACTATACAGTGCCCAATCTTTTCTGTTTTCTTTTTCGAACTATATTCTAGGGTGTGTGGTATTTCACTTTTAAGTTCAGTTACCTCCCTGGGAGCTCAAAGTTTGCTTTTGAGTTGGAGCAGAATAGCTATTTTACCCTTAGGTTGCAGTATATAACCTGTAGTGCTTCTGATGCTTTGAAAAACTTAATATAGGAGATATTATAATAGTCTTACATAAGTAGTAAATAAAAATACAAAACAGCCAGATTCATCCCTTAATGTAATGAACCAAATACATAAAAACCTTCAGTAAAGTTCTCTGGGCCTGTGGTAAATAATTCTCTATTAAGTAAAAGCAGTATTGTCACCTGTCTGATTAAGAATATATTTCCAATTTGGCAGTTATGCAGCACAAAACAATATTTGGTTTTGTAGTAAGTTAGTTTGTTTCTTAATTTAATAACTTTATAATAGAAAATTAAGTAAATATGACTGACCAGCTAAGATTAGGATGATCTTCTTTTCTAATGTAGTTTTTCCTCTTGAGACTATTGTTTCTTAATTTATGTTATATTTCAGACAACATAGTATAGCACAGGAATTTGCAGAAGCCATTTACATTTCTTGAGGTAAGCGCTGAGTTAGCATTTATTGTTTTGATAAAACATAACACATCATGGGATATATATATATAAAGCAACTTAATTCTTGTGGTGCAGTCTTGATAGTTTTGAATGTTGACTGAATGTGAGGTTGTAAGTTTGTCATTGTTACATTCCAGTGTTTCTGCTTAAAGCACGGCTTACTTCATCTGCTCCTTACACACTAAAATGCTGTTAGTGTGCTCAACTACAGAGATAGCCGCTGCTGAGTGATGTAGATTTTCTACTTGAATATTTTTATGTTGTAGGAACCTCAGGAGGTCAGTGTTTACTGTTTTATATATGCCTTCTTTTTCCTGTTTGAGCTTCTCTCTCTGAAGGATTCTAACAGAACAAAAGCTGCTGATCAACCTAAGTTGGAAACAGAAAGTGTGTCTAGTGTAATTTAAATGCGTACTTGGCAGTTCCATGTTACAGCCCATTAGCAAGCGAACTTAGTGCCACAGGTGTTCATTTATTCAGGAAATGGTTTTGCTTTTTGTATCGTCTGATCTCTTAATGACTTCATACTGTGTAAGAAAAATCACTTTTGTATTGTTTGTTGGTTATTTCCAAAATAATCGACGTGTAAATATCCTTAGAGCCAGCTCTGATGCTTTACAGTACTGCTACTTGAGTTTGTTATGCAACTTAGACTTCAGATCCCAACACTCAGCCAAGCCATTACATCTTAGCAAGACAAGTAGCATACAGTTTGTAATTAACATTGACAAACACTGTGATTTTTTTGGTTAAGACTTTTTCATTGATCTGAATTGCTTAAATTGCATATATTGTAAAATAGAGTCAGATGTATATTTTAAAATAATTTCAGCTGACTTTCTCCTAACTGCTTTGTCTACTCAGTTATGAAATATTCAGATACAAGTTTTATCTCAGGTGAATATCCTTGTATCATTTTGCTTTGGTGACATATTTATAAAGAAAGATCATCATACTTAATAGCCTTTGGAGGTTTGTGAGGTATTTTTTGTTTGTTTTGTTTTAATGTATTTTACTGATTATCTTCCCAGTTAGTCTGATGTTTTTCCCCTCCACTTGTTCTATCAGACTGGAGAGATATAAAAAGCTCTCCTCACATTTGGTATGGAGATTTAACTGAAAATGAGTTGAGTTTGGTCCTCCCCTTTTCTAAACCCTCAAAATATGAAAGTGGAACCTTTTACCCTACATAAAACTCTGCATAGTTGAGGTGCCAGAAATAAATTACGTATTAAACTCTTGTCTCAATTTAACACCTTTGTAGTGAAGAAATTTATTTGCTTCATATAGTTAATTATATTCATATTGAATGTATTAACAGATACCAGTGCAAAAACATTCTTCCCAAGAGAAGAGTGTGTCATGCATAGCTACAGCCCTAAGTCCTTTCTCTGTTAGTACTTCAGGTACACACAGCTTTGCTTATGGTGTTACTTTTGCAAATATTACAAGGCGGGGGACACTAATTGTTGCTGCTAGTACTGTTTAATACGGTGGGCATTGGCATCTATAAGAGAACTAGGGTCTGTGCTAACACCCTGGGATAGTTGAGATGGGAAGATGAGCAGTAGTGGCCTGTGTCGGTAACAGTGTTACCTAGTATCCGTGCAGTGCAGTAGCATTGAATATCAACTAGTGCACTTCATACTGTATTGAATATGGCAGTGCTTCTAAGCCTCTTTAACGTTAACTTTCACATGAAAGTTATTTCTCTTACCTGTATGCTTTCTGGGTAACTGGGAACTAACGCCAGGCTTGATAGAGATCTTCTCCCTGTTGGTATTATGTGTATGCCTAATTATTATACTTACACAGTTGTAAGGTATAAGCTTAATTACAGCACCTGTTTTTGTGGTTTGTATCCCAGAGTATATTGTGTTGAAATAAAAAGATGCATAGCAGCTGAATGTACGCATGACTTTGAGGGAAGTTAAAACTGGTTTTCTTTTCCCCACCTCTGTACATTAAAAACCAAGCCAAATCTATTTGCCAATGGTAGATCACTAATTACAAAGCCAGTAGCTTTCCTTTTAGTAAGAGTTTTTGTTTGCCATACATGACTTTTACTGTGGCTTGGTATATGCAGAATTATCTATTTCATAGGTCTAGTCATCTTGTTCAATGCCTGCTATAACATGGTTAGCCTGTAAGGCGGTGTTGTTTCCCTCCTAATGTCCACCTCAGAAAGGGGTTCCACTATATTTTCCTCATCTTTTTGTCACTGCTTTCCTATGTGGATATATAACCAAACTGAGCTTCATTGATTTTTTTATGAAGATAATAATTAGATAATACTATGTAATTAATTTTACTCAGTAGATTATCATCTTAAGAGATGCTTAACCGTGGTAAATCACTTCCTATTATGAAAGTTTGACACTTAGTATTCATGTTAACATTGGGTGCAATAACTTAGTAGTACTTGCTTAGTTATAAATAACTGGATCTTTCTGCTGACAACTTAGGTTGTATGAGTTATGCTTAAAAGCTTTAAATCTGATGTTTCCTGTACCTGCCACACTATGTTAGAATGTGTCCTTCAAACATATCCTCCTGCAACTTCTCAAACTGTACTAAATTGATATTTCTTGAAGTCTGACTCTGTGCTAACAGATCTTCATTTTAAATAGAATACGGTTTTAATTTTTGATAAGCTGCTGAATTTTAAAGAGAGTTTTTTGGGGCCACCAAATATTTTGGATCATGCAGAGAATATATATTGTACTGTAGTAATTTTGTATTTACATTTGTATGATGTGACATAATAGATGTGAATGTTAATCACTGCTTGACTATGTTAATAAAGTTGTTTAACTATAGTCGTTGCACTCTGATTTTTAATGGAAAGAAATTACATTATCTTTGTCCTCCTCCATTTTGTGTCCTAATAGGTTTGGTGGGTTTGGGAGGGGAGGGGTGTTTTGTGTCATGTTTCTATCTCTTGGTTTCTCTTAGCTTACACATAAGTGTCCTGTTGCTATCCAAGCGACTCTTTTTTTTTTTCTTCTTATTTATGTTATACAGTAAAAAGAAACCTTTGACTACATTTTAACTTAACTACTATTAGTGCTTTTCAACTCAAGCTGAGTAGGATGGAGTGAGTAACTGCTTTTTCAAAGGAAAGGAGTGAAGGTGAAGCTGTGACCATAGAGTTGATGATCGAGCAAGGCTGAGTGTGTGAGACTGTCCTGTTGAGGCTTTGTCCTTCAGAAAAGTAGGGCTTGTGAGATTAGAAATTAGCACTTGGAGTCGTTTCCTCTTCAGGTTGTAATCAACCAACGTGATTACATGTTGCCATTAAAATTAAGATATTGCTGCATTCCAGAGTGTGTGTATCCAGAGCTGTAAAGTGGTCTTTTTCACTCAAGATACAGAGCATTTTAGAACAAGAAAGGGCCTTTCATTGTAGCCCAGAAACTTAAGAAGTAAAGCTTGAGGGTTTTTGGTTTTTTTGTTTGTTTGTTTGTTTGTTTTGCTTTTGTTAAAAACATTTGTGGTAACACAGTTGTGTTGATGAGAGTGAATTGGAACTGAGATATTATGTTCCCTAAAACACCTTGGAGAGGGAATTTAAGTTTCCAGGGTGTGGGATTAAGTTGTAGGGGAAGTTTATTTAAATATGCCTGATCATTAGTTCAGGATTCTAATCTGCTTCCTAAAGTAATTGTTCCTGAAAATGAAATATTGGTATTTTAGTGAAACTAGTTTTATTCAGATGATTTTTTTTTCTCAGTTCTTATAGCAGCCATATTGTTTTTTTTTTTTCATTTGTTTGTTGTTTGGTTTTATTTTTGGCTTTTTGAGACAGGGTTTCTCTGTGTAACCTTGGC